AATGACAAATAATCCTTAAATACAGTTTGCAAAGGTCTTAAATGACCAAAGACTCAATAAACAAGATTATTTTATTTCTATAAAATTTTCGTGAATTTTTAGTTAGTGTTCAGCATTTTTTGTGTATGATGTTGCCGTAAGCGGAACCGTACACATTCAGTTGGTTGTGAAAGGGGGCTATTTTTAGATGAGCACCAGCTGGTTAAGCTAGTGGGAGCTTGCCCCATGAGGAAGTGCAAGTTTAATGGTAACTGGATGGCTAATTCCACATTTGCGACGTGGTTAGCACCGGTTCCAGGCAATAGCTGGAAATTATAGCTTAAATTAAATTTAAAAAATATATAGCTTAAATTTGATCAAAGTGGCCTTAAAAAGGTCTTAAAAAGTCTTAAATTTGGCTCCCTTAAACCAGCAGATACCCTGAAGCAGTTGCTGTAGGAAATATACTTTCCATTTCCCAGTGTGTTAGCGGCATGTAGGCGTGGTTTAGCTGAACCATGAGTGAGAGGGACCTGTCTGTTCTTGACCCAACTCGTGAATGCTCCTGACAGTACTGACTCAATGCATTCAGCTGAAAGCAAATGGAGAGGTAGACAAACGTGCCTGTTGACAAGCCTTAAAGCTTCTCTTTGCTCACTAGCAGCAGGCCAAAATATCTGTTGATATGTGAGAGGTACAGAAATGACTTTATTGCGGTGATTGCTTTAAAAGATTAAGAGAAAGGTTGAGTTTTCAACCATTTTTAAACAATTGCTTTTATTTTCATGACCATAAAAAATTTTCTTTAAGGGAAATCTCATCTTTTACTCGAATGACTCACAATGCTGAAACAGTCTCCTACTACAGTCTACTTCCTGGGATTGTTACATAATGCTTCATGTCAACTGAGTTTAGGTGGAAAATTACAAGCAACATTTGAAGCTTATTTGCTGTTGAGCCAACGGCACCAAACCTTTAACACCGTAGCACAAATGAAGTTTTAGAAATGGCGTTCTCGTGTGTGCACAACTTGTCGACCAGTGCTGGAATTTCCCAGTGTCCCATCAGCTTTCAGTCTTTGTGTTTTAATGTTAGAAAGTGAAAGAAAACATCAGAGCTCATGGGACTCAAGTCTGTGACAACAAGGTGCAGGGATGACTCAAAGAATACAAAATTATTTTGTACAATTTTTTTGTTTTGATCTTTTTTCAGTTGCTTCACATAGATCTGACTCTTATTGGATATAAGGTATAGGTCGTGCCACATTGGAGAAGCAATTGTGTTTTCTGTTTCTGTTCCTGACATTGAAGCAGGTACTGGTTGGGTTGGGGCTGCTGGTGACAAAACATTTACAAGGGCGTTTCCTGAATGTCTCAATCTTTGCAATGGTTCTTGAATTCCTCGCGTGTGACTGGGCCAAACTTGTTTGTACCTGAAATTTCACAAAATAGTTGTCATGTGTGAAAAATCCATTAATTCAATTCAATTCAAGTTTATTTATATAGCGCCAAATCACGACAAGAGTCGTCTCAAGGCGCTTCACAGAATAAACATTCCAATACAGGTCAGTTCATTAAGCCAATCAGAAAAAAGTTTCCTATATAAGGAACCCAGCAAATTGCATCGAATCACTGACTAGTGTCAGTGACTTTACAGCAGGGCTATTCAATTCCAGGCCTCGAGGGCCGGTATTCAGCACGTTTTAGTGGTTTCTCTGGTCCAGCACACCTGATTCAGTGGTTGAATCACCTGTGCAGCAGTTCCTCAGGCTCTGTTAATCACCTGCTGATAGAAATCAGGTGTGTTGAAGCAGAGTAAAACCAAAACGTGCTGGATACCGGCCCTCGAGGCCTGGAATTGAATAGCCCTGCTTTACAGCAATGCTCATATTAAGCAAGCATGCAGCGACAGTGGAGAGGAAAACTCCCTTTTAACAGAAAAAAACCTGCAGAGGATCCTGGCTCAGTATAAGCAGCCATCCTCCACGACTCACTGGGGATCGAGAAGACAGAGCGCGCACGCACGCACACACACACACACATACACACACACAAAGTAGTGTTTCTATGGTTGCATTGTGACTTCTTAGTAAATATTCTATTTGGTGAGAGATGAACTTTATTGTATTTATCCTAGTGGATCTATAATTAAACGGGTAAACTAGCAGTAGCACATCCAGTGTTTAAGAAAGTAAAATGTTATTATCAGGAGAGGGAGAATGATTAAAAAGAATGATTACAAACCCTTATTAATATAGTTTGTATAAGCCAGAAAGCGAGACGTCCAAGACAACCTTTAGAGTGGTAGGTAGGTCACCAACCATTGCTTTTCAAGTATGATGTGATCCTCTGGTTCTTCAAACCATGACCCTCAGCTCTGGCTGTGGAGACTTTCTCCCAAATGTGAAGTGGCAGGGATGAGGATCAGCACCCCTAAAACTGAGGCAATGGGCTTCAACTGTAAAAAGGTGGATTGCCAACTCTGATTTAAGGAAGATGTTCTACCTCAGATAGAGAACTTCAAACATCTGCGGATCCTGCTTTGGGTAAAGCTCAAAAGAACAATGTAACAAATGCAGGTACCCAAAACAAGTTTATTATACAAGGGCTTAGCATGTGGGGTTACGGTGAGGAGTTTAGACATCCAGGAGACATTCTGAGAGTTGCTGCTCCTCCACACCGAGTGGAACCAACTGAGCTGAGAACGTGGTCAGAATGCCTGCTGGATGCTGCCTGAGGAAGGTTCTTCTGGGTCCTCAAGGCTGACCCAGGACATGCCAAGGGAAATGCATCTCCACACTGGCTTAGTGATGCCTTGGAATCCCATCAGAGGAGCTGGTGGAAGTGGCTGAGATGAAATTAATGCAAATTAAGAGCAAACTGAGACAGAATTAAGAAGATTTTGTGACTCAGTGGTAACAAGAATATTAGAACACATTTAAAATGTCTTGTCCAAGTTTCCTAGTCACAGTCCTCTTACAAACATTTGTGTCTCCTCTGTCACCAACAGCCCTAACCCAGTGAGGTACCAAACCTGTGCTTCACAGAAAAAAAATGTAATGCAAACATTGAGGAATGGAGTGTGAAATGAAATCTTGTGTTTTTGTTGGTTGGCAAGAGGGAGTCAGGCTTGAGTTGCAAGTACAACACCACAGATGGGGAATAGGAAAGAGGAGAGGACAGGCCAGAGCAGACCTCCAAACAACGAGCTGCTGTGTCCAAACCCCCTCAGGAGAGACAACCAAGAGACCTCATACCGTTCTTTTTAACCGCAGTTGCAACCCATACATCTGTGAGTGATTGTTGCCTCTGAAATAGAAGTGTCACATTAAAACCTTCCCCATAAAGGAGTGAATAATGTTTTATAAATGTGTGTTGGAAAAGCGATTCCTTTACCCGTTTATGCAACTGGAAGTTCCTGTCAGCTACTGAATTTTGGTCGTTGCTTAATGAGCTTGGAAGCAGACGTTTGTTTAGATGGGCTGTAGCGGCTGTATTTACCCGCGTCTTTTCATTGTGTGTGGTCCTTTTTTAGTGAGTTTATTTTGAGTATGGGGAGAGCTGAGGAGTCCTATATGCAGATTCATGTGGACGGTAAAGAAGGAATGTTTATCCTGGGAAATCTTTCTTGGTTACATGACCTGGCTTTCAGAAATTAAGGATAGAGACCCTATGACTGAGTGACAGAACAATGTTAATTATCTCTCCAAGAATTTAGTGACGATCTGAGGTTTAAAGACTAATGGGTCTGGATTTCCTTCAGACTTCTGTCCGATCTTTGGTGTTGGACCTGTATTCAGATTCTCAGAACACCAGCTATAGGTTGCTCTGCCCTGCCCATTTGGTCTCTTTTCAGCAGCCATGTGAAAAATGAGTAACTAAAAAGAATAATCATTAACTTGTAATTCTTTTCCAGTGTTTTGATGTTTAAGAAATCCATATACCACCCCTCCTCTCATAGTAGCAAATCCACTGGGAGAAGATATTAGTTACTTAAAATAACTTCCTTTACATAAAAACATCCTGATTTTTTTCTATTAGTGTACATTTGAAACAATGGCTCCCAGTTGTCACAGAATACAAAACCTGTTCATCAGCAATCGTGACCTTAAGTGACACTCTTCAAATAAATGAGACTCAGTTTAGAGTTTCAAAAATCAGATTTTAAAGCAACACTTAATACACTTCCCGCTTCAGCTTTCATAAACAATCCTGTCACAGCCTGCTGTAACTAATACTAGCAACGAGCTAACGCTAACACGAGCCAACTGATACTAAATAAGCCACAAAGTAAAAAGATCCACGCAGTTGGACAAAGTAGTAGCAGCAACAAAGCCAGGTCACCATCACTCGTGATTTCGAAGCCCTCTTCGGCTCCTTTAAACTAGTGTAGGTCACGCCGATGTTCACTCTGGTTTTAGCCTTTTGCTTCACTTCCAAAGACGTGACTCTCTTACTTTCACTTCCAGGCTCCGCCATGATGCCAACAAAAAACGCAAAATTCTTCTTCTTGTGCTTTTTATTGACAGTCAGCAAACTGAAAAAGCTAACTGCTAGCTTAGTTGATGTTTATCCACTGGCAAAGTAAATAGCTGCTGTTGTAAAGCAGGTAGAGACCCCCCCACTAGCGTTCCTACCCGAACCACAAAATTGTTACGTGCAGTTTCTGGCCAGCAGGCTACAGACTGCTGTTCAATGTGGAGTTGCTCAAGTTTCTGCCTCTTGAACCACTGAAACCAGTTTGAAAGTAATAGTGTTAAAAACTCTTCAGAGTTGCTTTAAAGTCTTTCTTTTAGCTTCAAGTGTTATGTTTTTAGGGCCAAGACAGCTTAGAAACAGAGCATTGCCTGCCCAGATTTGAGTCAGTTATGCAACAGGTGGTCGCTACGCCTTTGTTTTTAGTTGTGTCCTGTAAACCAGTAACTCGTCTTCCATACACTGACAAAATCATGGAAAAACCAACACATTTTAGCTCCTAAGTGTGCAAAAACGGCCTCCTGAACGCCCGTCTTTATTTTTCAGATTTGTGCGGTGTGCTTGGAGGAGTTCAAACAGAAAGATGAGCTGGGGATTTGCCCGTGCAAACACGCCTTTCATCGAAAGTAAGTGAAACATTTTGCTCCTTTGCAGCGACGTGCACAGGAAAATAAAAGCTAACCAACACAGATCGGTGCTGATTTACGATTTGTAGTTAAAACTAAAAGTCAAGAGTTTTCTGTGTGAAACAACACATGAAAAACAGCACCTTCCCCCCGTGTCCCACCATTTCAGCCGAGTTGTTTACATCAGCATGGGACCTCCTTTGACCTACTTTTTTTTTCTCCCCAGTTGCAAGAGTTTCAGCTCCAGTAGCTTTTAACACGCACAAGTAGAAAACTGCCGTTTTAGAGCCAGTGTCATTAAAAACAGTCATTTTATGACAGAAAGTTATAAAATATAAGGAGATATTAACCCTTCAAGAGCCAGGACAACCATCCGGTGGAGTCTTTAAATCTTAATGAAGTGTTTATTGTAGGAAATTGAAAAATAAAAATCTACCTAGCAAAAAGACAAAAACATCCAAAAATAATGACAATTATTTTTATGTTACTATTGTAATATTTATGATTGTTTACAATATTTATACCGTTTATTGCTCCACATGGTTTGTTTGAAAGGTGTTAAATAATTTTCATTGTAGTTTTGTTAACTATAAAAGTGTTATTGGATGTCAAAAAGTCATAAATGTATAATAAAATGACAGCACAATGTTTATTTGTTTAAATAAAAGGAGAACAGTATCCTGGCAGACATAATCATACCTGTAATGTGTTATTTAAACATTATAGAACTATCAAGGTAAATGTTCCCTAAAATGAAACTACACAACTTCCACTGGTTTCTCTCGGTCTCCCAGGTGCCTCATTAAGTGGTTGGAGGTGAGGAAAGTGTGCCCGCTGTGCAACATGCCCGTCCTGCAGCTCGCCCAGCAGGCAGGAAGCCCCGACCCCCCCGAGCCTGTTCAGCAGCCGTTGCCAGGTGTGGAGAATCTGGTGTAGCGGACTCTGACCTTCTTTTTACACACACAAACAAATAAAAAAAACACTCATGCTCTCACATTCACTCTTTGGTGTGAGTGTGTGTGAGGCCAGACTGGACAAACTGGAGTTATTGTAAAAAAAAAGAAAACTGTGATATAAAAGCTGCCATCATCTCCCATATTTCAACCTTGGATAAACGACGGACTTCCTGACATCACAACCCGGACTTGTGGATTTTTCACAACCAAAGCGCTTTTCTGAAGACCGGGAAGAAGAAAACGCAAAAGCCAAGAACTCCAACACAACTTTTTACTTTTTTATTTTAATCAAGCACTTTATAAGATGGCAAACATTAGTTGCTTGTGGCTCTTAGTTCCATTGTTACTTTATATTTTAAATATGATACCTTCTTATGGTTTATATTTCAAATGTGGTATTTTTGATTTTCAAACCTTGGTCTCAAAGGGACAGTAGCAGGTGTGATGGTGGGGTCAATGGTTAGCGAGCACATTCACACAGCAGCTTATGCTCTGAGCGTTAGAAGTACAAGAAATGTACATTTATGGAATATCTGCTTTTAAAAGGAATTACACAGATTTAAAAAAGAGTGTTTTTTATGCTCAAGGCCTTCAGGAGCTCTCCACCTGAAAACAAGAATTCAGAGTTACTAAATCTGACATTTTAACATTCGTGCTTTGTTTTTTATTTCTAAACCATTTCAAAGAACAAACAACTGTAATTTATCTGAATTTAAAGGTGTGGAACACTGAAAACCCATTTTTGAATGATTATTTCGGATTATAATCGGCCACTGAGTTTTTCATGCAGACTGAACATGAAAATAGTCTCCTACACCTATCTCCTGCGTTAGCTTCTCTTAGCCTGACAGATCTACGCCACACTGACATTCATGGACTCACCCATCTTGACTCGTTGTTGGTTTAGCGTCCAGGAAACGGCAGAGAACATCTTGACTAGCAGAAGCTAACCGTTAGCATTAGCAACTCCACCACACAGCAGAACTCCTCCGGGCTTGTTATTTGTGGAAGTAAAACATCAGCGTTGAGATTCAGTGGTAGAGTTGTGTTGTTATCCAGTCTGAGGCGAGATGTCCTAATATCAGGAAATAAGACTCCAAAACCGGCGCTCGGAGCTCGGCTGTGATGGGGCTCACTGCTAGTTCCTGGAAATGGAACCGCGAAAGTACGACTTACAAGGCATTCATCAGAGGCCAGTGCAAATGTATTGATTAAACGAGTGTCCCACACCTTTAACAGAATCTCTTGAGGTGGCACGGGAGGTTTCCGTTGCTCTTCAGCTGATAATTTGAATGTTTTTGATGCGTTGGTTTATATTAAGGATTTGCCTGTTTAACAAGAACAAGATAAAAAGAAAGAAATGTCAAACCTTTCAAAGAAACTGAAGGTTGCACCACATATCCTGCAAGTCAAATAGAAATCCTTCCTTTAAAATGTGCTCAGTCTTTAGTTATATTTATTTTTCTACCTTAGTAGAGTACATCTATTTATTGTTTTCGTGTTATTTATAACTCTTGGTACTGCTGCATCAAGGTACTGGAGTAAAACCAGCACCACAGTAGCGCCCTGAGCTTTCATTTAGACGGCTGGAGCTGCCTCGCTCAGCGGGTTGTAGTGAAACAGCATTTTCATTCATGCAGCTGCGGTATTCTGGTGCTTTTGCTTCTGTACGGTACAAGGTGCTTTTGTTTAGCGGCACTCGCACATCACCTCTGGGCTCGGCTCTTTTTGTTTGCTGCATTTAGAAAAATGTGTTGTTGCTCCTTTGAAAGGCTTTACTGTGGAGTCTCCCTGGTGACATCAGTGGGTAAAAATAGGTTTCTGTGGCTACAAATAACAAAAGTGTGAGACGGAGCTCCTGTTTTGCAGCATTTGGATGAAGGCTGGCTGCAGGATATCCTAATGCATTCAAAAATCAGAGTAAAGTAAAAACAACACATTTAAAGGGATACTTTGTCACTTTTTCATATTTTTAAACCATTTTCTTGAGCCAGTATGTGCTAAAATGACACTTTACAGGGTACATGAAAGACCACCCAGACCCTGTCGTCCCATGTGTCCAGAATATTCCACTTGCAACTTCAGACTGGCGGGCCACTCTTTTGGGACTTGACTTTTGAGCTGACATACCTGGCGCTGCAGTCTGGTTCCAGCACATTTCCTGCATATTTTAGATCATGAGCACAGCTGATTTATTATAGTTAGCGATGAATCACTCCTGTAGACATTAATGAAGGCTGGGGAGGCATTTCAGCTGTTAATTTAAGGTGTTAAAAAGATGAAGGCACAGCTTCAGTTCAAGTTCAAGTTTTGCTTCAGATTCTACAGACGGACACTAGGGGGTGCTAAAAGCAAGCCAAAGCCGCCTAGTTCCCTTTCAACACTCCCAAGCTGTATCTCGTAGACACTTTTTGCTACTGCATCCTGAAACGATTATTACTGCCGCACATGAGATATTTAACTTCTGTTCTAGTTGATGACTTCATTATATGAGCTTTTAGCCACACACTGGTATTTATTCTTTTGATGTTAAAAGGGAGGTTCACAGTGATGGATGCGAGATAAGTTGGAGATAGAAGGTCGTGCTCGAATTAAAAAAACAAAACAAGGACATCAGACAACATCTATATCAGTAATTAATGATTATCGTTACATTAGAAGCTGTGTTGAATGACATTTATAAGGATGGTATTGAGTACATCTTTAAACACCCCGCCGATTGTGTGTGTGTGTGTGTGTGTGCGCGCGCGCGCGTGCATGCAGATTAACGTTTTCGAGACGGTGATGTGCTCACGGTGGCTCTGACCTCTGCTGTGAGTTTCATCTGCCCACGTGCAGAAGTGACCGCCTTTGGTTGGAAATGTCAGCTGTTAGATGGACAAAGCTAGAGAAACGCCATTAACGCTCGATTAAAATAACCTTCAAAATGCCACAGAGGATCAAAACAAGTGAAGGTTCTTCACTTTGGTTATGGCGAGGCTGCGACTGTTTCCATCTGCTCGTCTTAGACGACGCATCTTCCCTGCTGTAAAACGTTATCCCCCAAACTGTCCGTTATCCTCCTCCATCCCACAAGAACACACGTCTTAAAGCTTTCTTAATGGATCTCCGTGGTTCACTTGATAACACGAAAGCGCGCTGCTTTGCCTAAAAAAGCCACTCTTCTCACTATTGTTAAATGTAAGTGGATGGTGAGCTCACTCGTACCTTCATGTAAAGTGCTGCATGGACGTAATTTTCACTTTAGAAGTGCAGGAGACACGGGGTGGGGGTGGTGGGGGGTATCTTTACGGTATGCTCTAATGGGAAAGGGCTTCAACACAAACGGTTGTTTTCCGCTTGGTCCTAGACCTCAACCAGTGTCAATTTAATACAAAGTAATTTTATTTTTGGATGGTAGAAAGTGCAGGGGTCAAAACTTGACCTTGGAAAAAGTGGGGGGGATATGTCTCCCCCCCCCCCCCCGCCCCCCCAATTACGTCCATGGCTGCATCATGTTTAATGTTCTCTGACACTTTTACACACGAGCTTCCCCGTTCCCCTTCCTGTGTGCCGTCCTGATCCCGCTCAAAGTGCCAAGTCAACATGAAGCGTTAGGATTAGGAATTAAAGCCTCAGCCCACAAATTAGGAAGGCTCTGCGTTTGAGAAGAGAGGGAGTTTCTGCGAGAACAAAAATAGAACAGGGCTGACGTGTGAGAATTCAGAAGCATAACGTCTTCCCACGGCTGAAATCATCAGCGTTGCTCCTGAGTGAGCCGTTATAAATAGACTCAGTAAACGTGTACCCACACCTGGAGAGGGAGGCAACGGCCTCATGTTCCAGGGTTTTATAGGAGGTAGAAAGCAGAACAAAAATAAGAAATCTCTGTAAACTTTATTTATTTCTCCTCTTTATTCCTCTAATTCACCAGTAACCCACTTAACTCCCCTCACCTCTGCCTTTTTTAACACTGATTATGTGTGTGACCTCTCACAGACATCGTTTGTAAAACTAATAATTCTGCAGCAGAATATTTTTGGAGACTATTTGCTGTACAGTATTTGTAAGCTCTATTTTTATATATTACTTTATTGGGTGGGTGAAAATATGCTTTTTTGTTGTTTTTGCTAGTTTTATGTTTACTTCTTTGAAGAAATGTTGCATGAAACTGACTTGAACTGTAAATAAAATGATCAAGTTTTGGAAAGATATGGAGTGTTTTTTTGTTTTTGTTTGTTTTTTCCCCTTTTAAGAAAATGTTACCATTTAATATGTATGAATGTTAAAATCATTGAATAAATGTAAATTAAAAACGATGGTGATTAATGGTGAATGATTATTTTAGAAAATATGGTGTGGATTTTTATTGGGGAAACAAAATAAAAGTTACTTTTACTACCTCATGGAGAGCATCGACATTAATATAGATGGCGAGATGTTCAACATTGAGGAGATATGTGAATCACTCTGCCATCTGGTGTTCATTCTGTGTATTTGAGTTTTTAGGTTATAAATGGACTTGAATCACTTTAGTACAGGGGTGCCTGGTCCTGGAGGGCAGCTTTCCAGAACGTTTTAGCTGTTTCCCTGCTCCAACACAACTGATTTTAATCACCAGGTGATTAACAGACTTCTGCAGAGGTTGATGAGCTGCTGAACAGGTGATTGAACCATTGAATCAAGTGTGTTGGAGCAGGAAAACCACTAAAATGTGCTGGATTGCAGCCCTCCATGACTAGGACTGTGCACCCCTTCTTTGTTAGCAACATCTGTTCAGTTCTTGTTGTAGTTAATCAGCCAATCACGCAGCAGCAACTCAATGCTTGTAGGTCTACAGAACAGCATCTCTGAAATTTGTAGCAGATGGCCTCCAGCTACAGAAGACCACACCAGGTGTCTCTCCAGTCAGCTAAGAACAGGATTCTGAGGCTACTATTAACACAGGATCACCATAACTGGACAAGAGGTGACATTTCCTGGTCTGATGAGTCTGGATTTCTGCAGTAACGTTCAGATGGCTGGGTCATATTTTGGTGTCACCAACTTGAAAGCATGGATCCTGCCTTGTATCAGCTTCAGCATGGTGGTGTAATGGGCTAAAGGGGAACTAGACATTTTTCTTGCTTTTAGCACCCCCTAGTGTCCATTTACAGGACTGAAACCAAAACCTATTGTTTTTTTTTTCTTCCTGGCACTTGCAGAGTACCGACGCTTCTCTTTTTGCTCCCTTATCTTTTTTTCCCAAGGCTCTTTGTCCTGTCTGCCCACAGAGCGCTTCTCTGCATTTCTTCTGAAAAACACTATTTTTAACTATGGATTTGATAAGTTAGTCATTCAACACGATTGATACGATTTTTTCAACAATGAGAACGGAGCAGGGGGCTCCCACATGCCCACAGGGGACACACCCGGCGGGGTATATGTTGGATTCCTGGAAGGAATGGAGGATCATATGCCTCTCCCAGCTGTCCATTGAGGATATCGAAGACGTGTGGATATTCGGCCTGATGATCACTGGATTTCTCCTGATTGGTGTGGGAGGATATCTGGTTTTCTGGAAATTTGGGAAGACGGGAGCGATTGGAGGGCGACCCGCACCCACGGAAAGCACCGTCCGTGTGGAGACCTCACAGACTGGGACGTTACTCGAGGTGAATCGTAAGCTGGACAATGTTCTAGCTGCGATACCGGTATTAGTGCGCAAAATGGATATCATCTCGGAGAGGGTCACCGGACGATATGGACAGGTTAAAAACCCAATTGGGTTCACTGAAGGACTGGAATGATCAGTTTAAAGACTGAAGGCAGAGAGGAAACTTATCTCAGCCTGACCCAAACAAAGTCTTGTTATCTGAATATGACGCCATGACAGCCTTGTGAGGCTAGGAACAAACCCCCACGAAGGGATGCAGACAGATGTTGTGAAAACCCGACCTACCCCCCCGCCTTCGGATTGGTGGACTTCAGCCTGGTGAGGTCATCAACCTGCAGGAGTCAATGTGCTCTGCGCTTCTCCCGAGATCTCCCTCCCACCTGTGGCTACAGTGGCTGAGTGCCGTGTCAGATGGCTGCTCTCGCTGGGGGAAACAGGATCCCAGCCCCCCCCCCCCCCCCCTGCCTTCCTATTGTAGTCTCATGTTATGTTGTGTTGTCTGAAGTCTGTTGCATATCTGTCTGAGGTGTTTTATTTTTTTTTTTTGCAGAGCAAAGCTGCCCTCCTGGTGGGAGGGTAGCTGTGAAGTGCCTTTTTTCCCTCCTCCCGAATCAATTCCTCATGTTACCCGCTAATCTCTATTAAGGTAGTGCGACTCAGGGTTGTGAATGACCACAGTCACCAGTTCTTGTCATGTGTCTTGCCCATGTATGTCTGATCTCTGAATTGTGTGTACTGAAACTCTAATTTCCCTCTGGGATTAATAAAGTATCTTTGATTTGATCACGGTGCGCTTGTATTTTTACCACTTTAATCTAACAGCTGAAACATTTCCCAGCCTTCCTCGGTATCTGGGAGGGGATTAATCACTAAATTAAATAAATCAGTTGGGTTCATGATCCAAAACATGCAGGGAATGTGCTGAGACCAGACTGCAGCGCCAGGGATGTCAACTCAATTTTTTATAAGTCCCAACAGAGCAGTCTGAAGTTGCAAGTGGAATATTCTGGCCACAGAGGACGATAGGGGCTGGGCGGCATTTCATTTACCCCGTAAAGGGCCATTTTAGCACATACTCGCTCAAGAAAATGATTTAAAAATATGAAAATTAGCTAAGTATCCCTTTAATGGATGTTGTTTTTGACCAATGTCTCTTGAAGGCAAAGACAATGGACCAAAACTGTATTAAATCATCTCAGAAACGATTCCAAACTGTGAAAGTTGGTGTCAAAACATGAACATAAAATGGTTAGCCATGCTTTAATCTCCTTCTGTCTACTCTTCACGTTTTAAGTAAAAAGCTGTTGACCGCCTTAAATTGGTCCAGAACTCTGCAGCGAGGCTCTCAAGAGGAACAACTAGAGAAGCTCACATCACTCCTATTCTGATGTCTCTGCAATGGTTACCCATTAACTTGAGAATTTGTTTTGGAATCCCAACTATAACTTTCAGAGCTCTTAAGTGGTCAAGCTCCTCCATATATCAAAGCTTTTATAGCAAATCTACAGAACAAGCTGGTTGATATGGTGTCCTCTAGAGTCCTGGATTCCCCCAAGGTGCTTTACAACACAATCAGTCATTCACCCGTTCACACCCTGGTGGTGATGTGCTACATTATAGCCACAGCTGCCTTGGGGCACACTGGCAGAGGCGAGTCTGCCTTACACAGGTGCCCCCGGTCCCTCCATTGTGTAAACAAGTGTGTAATAAATGGAGGACCCAAGGAAGGTCCAATGGTTGCTTTTGGTCTAAAATGTGTTATTGGCAGAGGAAGACAAATGTGAGAGATCCACCATTTTATTTTTTTTTCCTTTTTTTAAATCTCCACAACATATTTATACCTAGATTATGTTAGACTGTTGTTCAGACATGAAAAAAAAGTTTTAAGCCAGAGGGTTGCAGGTTACAGTCCTATCAATCTGCTGCAGTCGTTGTGTCCTTGGGCAAAAAACGTCACCCTCCTAGTCCCCTTTTGGTGGTTAGAGGGACCTGTTGCCTCTGTCGGTGTCCCAAAGCAGCTGTGGCAACAATGTAGCTCATGACCACCAGTGTATGAATGTGTGAATGGCTGACGTGTTACTAAAGGGCCTTGGGGGGGGGGGGTTGGGTACTGAAAGATGATCTATAAATGCAGTCTATTTTTAAATTCATTATCTCTGACTGGTTTCTAAGACATGATCAGTTCAGTCACAAGATGTTTTACAGCTTTTCTAATAAGTGATTTTCCCCTGAAAGTTCCTGATTTTGTATTTTTAAAACTTGTATTGTTTTATACTGGTGAAGGTTCTCAGTCATCCAGGTCGTGGTAATCCAAAGGAGTTTGAATGAAAGCAACTGGACTTCTTTGGTTTCTTGAAGACAGAGGGGTATTCATAGGGAGTTTCAGCTCGTTAAGCAACAATAAATAGCTAGTTTATAAGCTTGATGCCTTGTTATGTGGCTGAACTTAGTGTTCATGCTCCCTTTAGGGCCTCAAGATCCTCATCTAAAAATTTCCCGAGAGTTTCACCGTCCAGTCCAAAGTCTAGGGGGACTCTCATATTCCAGTCAGGTCCGTAGCAGAGAAGAGACATCTTCAAGACACCAAAGAAGTCCAGTTGCCTTCATTTGAACCCATTTGGACTGTATTGCTCTAATGGGAAAAGCAGAATAAGACATTTTTTATAAGGGAGAGAAAAGAAGTCTTTATCTTACATTATGGGAGATAAAATAAACCTCAGACTAAGTCACAACATGCGTGTAACGTACCGGTTACACTCATTTTATTGTTGACAAGCATTCATGTAAAATCTTGCTCTGCCTTTTTGGGCGTCTTGGTTTTCACGTTCTGCTTCTGTGACTTCTGCAGCAGAGCCAGCGTGTCGCGCTTCTCTATCTTTCTGAGCTGCTTCTTCTTCATTCTCTTGATCTTGGATGTGTTCCGGATCTGAGAGAAAAAACAAACAAACAAAAAACAAAATAAAAACAAGGGAAAATATTTGATGTTTTCAGCGCAAACACGAAAACAGCCTTTTAATCCTGCACAAGTGTAATCTGTTGGTGACAAAACTTGTTGCCTTACCACTTGAACAATTTCTGCTTTGCGTTCATTCTCTTGACGCCGTTTCAGGTTTTCTTCTCTTCTTTTCCTCTTTTCCTAAAAGCGCAGGTGAAGCACCGTTAAGTCACAGATACAGCTGCATGCACATCCCAGCTATGCTGCACATCTGTGTCACGCTACCTCTTTCTTTCGGGCTTTCTCCTCTTTGAGTCTCACGGTAAACTGTTTTACAAGCTCCTTTTCCTGCTTGGCCTGCATCTTCTTTTCCCAAGAGGAAGACAAAGGTTTGTCTCTGACCAACGCAGAGAACCTGAAATATAAAAATCACATCGGTCAGCGTGACTCAGTCCGTCCAGCTTCAGTAATGTTGCTGAGAACTCGTTCAAGCTTGTGACGGCTTTATTAAATAATTCTCCAGATTATATTAGGTAGATAACAAATCCCAAACTACCGCTATCAATACAAAGTCCTGGGTAATTTAAGTATTTTTTACTTAATCTGGCTCACTGGAAGCAACATTTACAATCTAAAACTTTTGAAGTACTTTAAAGCTTCAAGGATGGCATGTTTCTGTATATTTCTGATCTCAGCTAGGCTGAATGAAGCTGTCTACTGGGGAGTTTCACCTCTGCTTGTTTCGATCCTTCCATACTCTTCCTGATTTGGGTTTACCCAAAGGAACCGCTGGGAATTGTTTGGCATTTGGGGCCAGATGAGGTTTCTTCTTTGGGACTGTCTCTGAACTCGCTGGTACCGTTTCTACCGGTGCGGGTCTGGACACCTGGGGCTCCCTACCACAGTCAGCTGGTTCTGTACCCGCTGATTCAGGCTCTGACTTCGGCTCCGTGGGTTCTGCGGAGTCCGGATCTGTTGGAATGCTGCTGGACTTCTCCCGAGCAGGACTCTCGCTTTGCTGCTCTTTCTTGTCTGTGTTTGTTTCATCCGCTGCCTGCACCTCTGGGAGGACGGACCTCCTGGTTCTTCTGCTGGGAGTCTTCGCCGGGGTATTGGAGACGGGCAGGGCGGCAGGAGGCCGAAGCGTGCGGCCGCTGCGGGTCCGTCTCGTCTCCATGGGCGGATCTTCCCGCGGTGCCGCTTCGGAAGCGGACGCTTCTGACACTTTCACCCTTTTTGGCATATTTTCTAATGAAACGGACCAAAACAGCTAACTATAACAAAGCCTTAAACCCACGTGTGCCATACCAGCCTGACGCACTGGCGCCGTGTGTTTACGTCACGCTATTTCCGGTTCTGAGTACAACGCAGTAAGGGTGTTGTCGCCCTCTGCCGGGCTGAAGGGTGGACAGCAGCAACAAAACAGTATTTCCCTTGCTTAAAAATACATAAAATAACCAAATAAATATAGAAAGGCTGATTAAAATGTTTATGTAACTCTATATTCATTTTAAAGATGTAACGCGGGAGAGTAAATAAATAAATAAATAAATAAGCAGTACTTTCATGGAGTGTTTCAAAACACCAGAAAAAAACCTAATCGTGAAGAAATGTTAGTTTCATATGGCACAAAAACTATTATTTACAAAATTGTGGAAGAGTTTGAAACAAATCCTTATTTGTACACCATGTCTGAAAGTAATATTTTAAAAGAGATCTTGGCCTGTTTTCTGCTTCATTTGTTGAAAGTTTAACTTTTGAATTTGATAATAATAATAATAATAATAATAATAATAATAACAATAACAATAACGATGATGATGTTATTATTATTATCATCATCATTAACACGGTCACACAGTATTTTCTCTTGAAGATAATGAATGTTTCTTGTTAAAGACACAAAAGGAGTCTCTAGCAAATGAACAGTATGTGCAAATCCTGTCTTTAACCTTTTAATGCCAGATATATCACAAATATATCACGTGTAAAATGTACGCTAAATGTATCAAATGGATCATACATGATGGTACGCATATTGCTACGTTTATTAGCCTTCTGGATCGTTAACAAGATTAGTGAATTCCTTCAACTTCTACTGAATTCTCTCCACGTTTTCTGACCTATTGTGGAATTTCTAAGTACTGCAGAAGAGGAGTCCGAGTTACTGTTTTATTCGTGTTGAAATAATGTAAATTTACCCACTAAACTATTTTTCAACAATTTTATGACTATGAGCCTATAAACAGATCGGTCGTTTAAAAGTCTAATTTATGTCATGTATGTATGTAGAAGGAAGAAACAATCTTTTATTTAGCGCCTCTCAATATAAAAATCATGAGTCACTTCACAAAAACAAAAAAGAAATTAAAGTATAAAAATGATTTTCAAAATAATTGAAAATATGTTTGAAATGACAACAAATAAAAAATTTTAATTTTAAAAATTCCCTTGATGGAAATTTTCATCAAGGGATTTGGAAACAGTTTGTGTTGTTTTGACAGTCAGTTAGAAATTAAATTACCAATTCAAATGCATGTCTCGGTAATTTAATTAGTTTCCTGTATAAATAAATAAATAAATAAATAAATAAATAAATAAATAAATAAAAGTAAAGAAAAAAAAGGAAAAGTTACCAGACAAGCACACTTGTCTTGCATCTTTCTTGTAGTTTAACCAGTTTAACGAGAGGAGCAGCTCACTACCGCCACCTCCTGATCACACCTCGTTACTGCATCACGGGTCACATGACTTCACTTCCGCATCTCACAATGCCGCTCATTAAAACCTCCAGTCAGGAAAGTAAACAGCGAGGGAGACGAAGATGTTCGTGTGAATTCTGAAAGATACGAAGTGTTTTTAATCATTTTTATGAGAAACAGCAGAACAGACGAGTGAGAGGGCTCATCATGACTCCGATCGGACTGATCAGCGGGTTGCTGCTGCTTCTGTTGGGACAATCAGTGAGTACAGCTGAGTTTTAAAAGCAAATACTTCACAGACACAAACGTTCATGTCTTCAAAGAAAAGAGGAAATACTTTTAAAACGTTTTCCTGTCAACATTTATAAAGACAGCGTGTATGTTTCTCTTTTTTGTGTATCTGTCATCAATCTGATCCCAAATCAGATTATCTGATTCAGATCACATCTCTGATCAGAACTTACAGTCTGATTTTCAGCTCAGTACGACTAACTTTTTCAGCAAAAGTACAGCTTGTTTGGTCAAAAGTATCCAGCAGACAGTCGAGGATCAGGCTGTCGGGTTTCTGAGTCACGTGAGGGCTAAACACGTGACACTTTAAAATCACCTCCTGTGAGCCAGACTTGATTATAATCTTTAAAGTTTATATATGAATACTTATTCAGGTTTTCTCAAGATAAAATCTAAACTCAGTCAGATCTTTTACCCTCCGCTATCCTAATTTCCTAAGCGTACACCGAACATGCTAAAGATCATATGGAACATAAAGGCAAACTTTTAAAGTAGCTCGAGAATGCTTAAAGTACTTTTACCCAAGTACAACTTTAAAATATTACAAGCACACCAGGTGTGGCTTCAAACTTTTGCACACTTCTGAATAAATCCCAGCATCAGATAACTTTGCGTTGACCCTCAGCTCGAGGCTTCTCCATCGTTCAGCCTGGACTACAAGAACAACTGCTTCCTTAAGGATGGGAAAGAGTTTCGTTACATATCAGGTAGCATCCACTACAACAGGATCCCCAGGGTCTACTGGAGAGATCGGCTGCTGAAAATGTACATGGGAGGACTGAACGCCATCCAGATGTAGGTTTGACAACTCTTTGTGCCGTGAACCCCTGTTTGTAGGTCAGGTTGTTGACACAGATCCCATAATCTCGTTGCAGCTATATTCCCTGGAACTACCACGAAGAGTCTCCAGGCCAGTATAACTTCAGCGGAGACAGAGACGTGGAGTATTTCCTTAAGCTGGCTCAGGACATTGGTTTGTTGGTCATCCTTCGTCCAGGACCTTACATATGTGGAGAGTGGGACATGGTGAGCTGAAACTACCTCTAAATGTGTTTTAACCAGGGTTCAAATTACAGGGGAGCAGGGGGAAGCACGGCTCCCCGGAAAGAGCGGCGGGCTCCCCCCGGAAGCCCTCAACTGACACACCCAAGGGGAGCCCAACATGTGATCCAGTCCTGCTCCCCCGCTCTTATAGCATCATAAGGAAGAAAACATCCTCATTGATTTTTTTCCTAAATCTTTTATTTTCTTATTTTTAACTCAAATTTTTTATCTTTTATCTGTTTTTATGACTTTGTTTAATTTTGTTTTGATCTATATGAAGCACTTTGTGATTCTATGTCTGTGATAAGCGCTATAGAAATAAAATGTACTTACTAAGGTGACCGGACAGACCCCCCCCCCCCCCCCCCCCCTGCTCTTACAGCATTCTCACGGGGCTCCCCCGGAAGCCTGTGTGTAATTCGAGCACTGGCTTTAGCCATACGATTTGGGATGTTTTAACACCCAAGTTCCCCTGACACACTCTCTGAGTGCTGACGGGTAGCTAGCATAAGGTGAGCTCATTTATACCCTTATGGTTAGAGCAGGATCAAAGTCAAAGTCCGTTTAATTGTCACTTCTGCCACATGTACAGGACATACAGAGAAATGAAATTACGTTACTCTCAAACTCTCGCTAGATAGAAAATAAACATTTAGTACAAAAACAGTAACCAAGTTCAGAGAGACTGTGGGGGGAAAGAGAGGAGAGGTGGGAGAGCCGGGAGGGAGTTTAGCTTCCTAACTGCCCGATGGATAAAGCTGTCCTTCAGTCTGTTGGTCCTGGCCTTGAGACTCCGCAGTCTCCTCCCTGACGGCAGCAGCTCGAAGAGGCTTTGCATTGGGTGAGTGGGATCAGCCGCAATGCGAAGGGCCTTTTTTGTGAGGCGGGTGCTGTAAATGTCTGGTAGGGAGGGGAGAGAGACCCCAATGATCTTATCTGCTGCTCTCACTATACGTTGGAGGGTTTTAAGGCAGGAAACGTTGCAGGCTCCGAACCACACAGTGATGCCGCCCGCCAGGATGCTCTCGATGGTGCCTCTGTAGAAAGTGTACAGGATGAGTAAATCATGAAGACGGCGTCCTTACTGATCCGATTATTGTCCTTTCTGAAACTTGTTTTCTGACGAGTCACCTTCTGCAGGTCTTCCAACAGAAGCTCTCCTCCAGAGCAGCGAGACGATTAACGTTAATAACTCGATGAAGAACACCCTGTTTACAATGAATCTCACGCACGCTGACGTTGGCGCCTCCTTATTAAAAGTCTGAATTGATGCGTTCGGCATTTGGATTAGACTTTGAATTTGTTGGTGGCTTGTTCTGGTAGGGTGGCCTTCCTGCCTGGCTTCTCAAAAAGAAAGACATTGTGCTGCGATCGTCAGACCCAGGTAAGCAGCAGAGTGACGTGAGCAGCGTCTCTGGTGCAGAACGCACTCACCGCTGGGATCTGTGCTTGTTGTAGATTACATCGCAGCCGTGGATAAATGGATGGGGAAGTTACTACCCATGATAAAGCCTCACCTGTATCCGAACGGAGGTCCCATCATCACTGTGCAGGTAGAGCTTCGGACTTGTTTCTGAGATTTGCCCAAAAGGAAAGCCGATCTCTCACCTGTAGTTTTGAGTTGACAGGTGGAGAACGAATATGGCAGTTACATTGCCTGTGACTACAACTACATGCGTCACCTGACCCAGCTGTTCAGGTCTCACCTGGGGGACGAGGTGGTTCTGTTTACTACAGACGGCGGTGGTGTGAACTACCTGAAGTGCGGCTCCTTACAGGGACTCTACGCCACTGTGGACTTTGGTCCTAGTAGGTCTTAACGGCAAGCATGCTGTTTAGCATGTCTGCATACTTAGGGGTCTCTCACATTTTGAATTAGTCAGACGTCAAAAGGAAGTTGCACATAAATGCATCGTGCTTTTTCTCCACCAGCTGCAAATATAACTGCTGCCTTTGCTGCACAGCGACACGCTGAACCTAACGGGCCGTTGGTAAGATCCCTCTTCCTCCGAGCTGTTTTAAAGCTTTCACGGTAGAATGTTATGATCGCGTCTTCTTTTGCCGCAGGTGAATTCTGAATTTTACACAGGCTGGTTGGACCACTGGGGCTCCCATCACAGTGTCGTACAATCCTCGGTAGTGGCCAAGTCGCTCGACCAGATTCTGGCCAAGGGAGCAAACGTCAACCTGTAAGTCCTCTGAGGCAGGAGTACGTCCAGGACTTGTTCGTAGTTTAAAACAGCAGCTTCCCAACGGTAGCAGCATGAACTTAAAACGGTTTGTAACTGTAACAGTTTTAATAATTATCATTTTACCCATGGTAGAAAGCTTCCTGAATGGCGTCACCATGGAAACATTCAGTTTAGGTCCTAAATGATTGATACGCTAATGGCTAGTCTGAGCCAAGACCAAACCAGATACATACACACATCTTAAAATAAGTCCACTCTCCAAAGTTTCACAGCAGTTGTTGTTACTTCGTGTCAGTTGAAAAAAAGACGTGTAATGCAAACTAAAATTTGCATGAATTACTGAGGAATTTGTGGATTTGAGCTTTACGCTTACGGCCCTTTTCCACTAGTACTTACTGCACAGCCTGATGCAGCTCGACTCTACATGGTTTTCCATTACAACTGAGATGTGTGGGTGGTCCGTGCAGTTAGAAAGCACTAGGTGATCCGTACGTGACACAAACAACAACTGAAAAGAAGAGACACGGAAAAGGCTGTGGGCAACTAGGTGAAATACTCTGGACCAACCAATGACACAACCCCTCAGCCAATCATTGATGGATGGTCTTCTTATGTCGCGTTTTCAGCCCAGCTTTGTACCCTTGGAGCCACATCAAAGCAAGTACTAACAAAAGGGTGGCAAGCTGGTGGAAAAGCCTTGGAAACGTACCAAACTGAGTCGAGCTGCGCTGAGTTTGTACTAGGGCTGCCACAAACGATAATTTTGATAGTCAGCTAATCACAAATTGTTTTGGCGATTACGACAAATTGAACTTGCGAAAGCTGTAGCTTGTTGCACCAGCGAGCAGCTACTCTAACATGGCCATTAGCTTTAGCCTGAAGCGTCGACTCTGTTATAAGCTGTTTAAAAATAAAGTCAACAAAGATCATTTGATGAAGATTTCAACTTATAGAAAATAAGAAAAACAAGACGAAGGGCTTAAGAAAACAAAAACGTGCTTTTTTTTAACACTAATGTGGCATTTGCAGCATTCCAGCAAACACATGACATTTTGTTAAGGGTAATGAATTTTCAGTTGCTACTGTTCCAGCTAGCCATGCGTGTAGCTCACTGCTGACATTTATGTTAACAGCTAACTAGCAAATCAGCTACAGGAGGCGACTGTTGCTCTTCGTCATCAGCCTTAGTGTGCTCCCTTTTAAAATATAACATTCGTGTTTGTGATGTCACAGCTCGCAAACCTTTGAGCTTTGTCGTCAGCTCACTATGATTTGAGCTTTTCTGGTGATGCCATAGCTGACCGCAAAAGCCACCGATGCAGAAAGGCGGATGCAGCAGTGGAAAGTACAACCGCAATTTTAAGAGAAACAAAACATCAAAGAATTAACAATGAAGTTAATTACCAATTTGTTGTGGACAACTTTGGTTTATAACATAGTCATGACTAATTGACTTATCTTGGCAGCACTAATGTGTACTAATGGAAAAGGCCCTCTGGACTAGCCATTAGCTCGTCAGTCCTGTAGGGGAGTGAACTGGATTTATTAAATTAGAAGCCGTTTAAAGAATAAAGTCCCATTAGTCATTACACTCTGGTGAAATTCCTCTCCTCATGTGACCCACCCCTGTGGGGAGTGGTGAGCTGCAGCTGTGACTGCGCTCGGGAGCTATTTGGTGGTTTGATCCCCCCCCAAAAAAAAGAAAAGCCGAGTGTCAAGCAGGGAGGCACTGGGTCCCATTTTTAAAGTTTTTGGTATGACCTCACTGGGATTCGAACCCTGACCTCCCATTCCCAGGGCGGACACTCTACCACCAGGCCACTGAGAAGGTAAGTAAAAGGTAGGTAATATAATAGTAATTATAGCTCCAACTAAGGAACGGGCTTTATAATGACTGCAGAACCCGTTAAACATCTCATTAGGAGGTAATTCAGGAACGTTATTTTTTATACACTTGACTATTCTGGGCTACAAAAGCATTTCAGTATTAAGACTATGGTCACAATGTTATGAATAAAAAACGTCCCTGTCTCATTTGGTGCAACAACCTCTAACAGGGATAGAAACACAAGTTGCAAACGATGCTTGTTTGGTTTATGAGTCACAATGACTGCACGGGTACCAGATAATCCGCTTTTGGATCAATATTAAATCCTAAAACTGCTGTTTTAACTGCTTTTACTCCACCAACACGAGGTCGGTCTGTGCTATCCAGATTACTGAAAGTGCCCTCCTCCCACAGGTACATGTTCATCGGAGGAACTAACTTTGGATACTGGAACGGTGAGCCTAACTGACCAGATGGGTGAATCTTTCCTGAGGTAGTTACGCTCCACCTCACCCAGTTTGTGTTTGAATGAGCTCAGGTGCTAACACGCCTTACGCGCCTCAACCCACAAGCTACGACTACGACGCTCCCCTCTCCGAGGCAGGAGACCTCACGGAGAAGTACTATGCCATCCGAGACGTCATCAAAATGGTGAACACGCAACCTAAAACTACCAGACCAACAAATGAACTCTGTAGAGTTTTATTTAGATGTTTTAAACAGAACGGCATAAGTGTTCTGTCGACGATCTCCTATGAGATCTGGAGTAACGTGTTCTGTTTGAAACAGTACCGTGAGGTTCCAGCGGGACCGGTTCCACCAACAACACCCAAGTATTCATACGGTGCTGTCAAAATGAAGAAGGTGAACCCATGGATGATTCACAGCAGTCTCCTGATTTGTGAAACGAAGAATAAACAACTTCCTGTCACCTGCAGCTCCAAACGGTGTCAGACGCCGTGGAAACCCTGTCGTTATCTGGCCCGGTGAAGAGTGTGTACCCTCAGACGTTCATAGAGATAAACCAGGTGGCCTTCCCTCCTTTTATTTGCTGAATATTTATTAGTGATATTTTATTTGCTACCACTGATGTATCTCTTTCTGCCCTCCAGGTGTTTGGTTATGTCCTCTATAGGACCAGTTTGCCCGTGAACTGCAGCGAACCCACTCCTCTGTCATCACCGCTGAACGGGGTCAACGACCGAGCGTATGTGTCCGTGAGTGGGGTGAGTCGGGGTGGAACGCTGTCTATGCCAGCATCGTTTTTGGTTTCGTGTTCGATTCGCTGCTAAAACGGAGCCCGAGCCTGTTTCTGGACCTTCTGATTGGTGATTTTACAGCCTTGGTTTGAAGCTGTGGTTGACTGGAAAAACCTTTTTTAATTATTATTTCTGGTTGTAATCGGTCACTCTTGAGTTGGCTGAACATGAAAATAGTCTCCTACACCTATCTGCTGCGTTAGCTTCTGATAGAAAATAGACACACTGTGAATTGGACTTGCCCATGTTGACTCAAGATGGGGAAGGCTGTTGTTGGTTTAGTGTCCAGAATCAGCAGAGAACGTCTCAGTCAACAGAAGCTAACCATTAGCATTAGCAAGTCACTCCCACAGCCGAAGCTCCTCCAGGCTTTTGTTTTCTGTGTAAGTGTAAGAGTCGCTGTGTCTTCGTCTTCGTCTTCCTCCGCTTATCCGGGTCCGGGTCGCGGGGGCAGCATCCCAACTAGGGAGCTCCAGACCGTCCTCTTCCCGGCCTTGTCCACCAGCTCCTCCGGCAGGACCCCAAGGCGTTCCCGGACCAGATTGGAGATGTAACCTCTCCAACGTGTCCTGGGTCGACCCGGGGGCCTTCTGCCGGCAGGACATGCCCGAAACACCTCCCCGGGGAGGCGTCCAGGAGGCATCCTGACCAGATGCCCAAACCACCTCAACTGACTCCTTTCGATCCGGAGGAGCAGCGGTTCTACTCCGAGTCCCTCCCGAATGTCCGAGCTCCTCACCCTATCTCTAAGGCTGAGCCCGGCCACCCTACGGAGGAAACTCATTTCGGCCGCTTGTATCCGCGATCTCGTTCTTTCGGTCATTACCCAAAGCTCATGACCATAGGTGAGGATTGGGACGTAGATCGACCGGTAAATCGAGAGCCTGGCTTTCTGGCTCAGCTCCCTCTTCCCCACGACAGATCGGCTCAGCGTCCGCATCACTGCAGACGCCGAACCAATCCGCCTGTCGATCTCCTGATCCCTCCTACCCTCACTCGTGAACAAGACCCCGAGATACTTAAACTCCTCCACTTGAGGTAGGACCTCTCCCCCGACCCGGAGGTGGCAAGCCACCCTTTTCCGGTCGAGAACCATGGTCTCAGATTTGGAGGTGCTGATCCTCATCCCAGCCGCTTAACATTCGGCCGCGAACCTACCCAGCAAGAGCTGAAGGTCAGAGCTGGATGAAGCTAGGAGGACCACATCATCCGCAACAAGCAGAGACGAGATTCTCCTGCCACCAAACTCGACACACTCCACACCACGGCTGCGTCTAGAAATTCTGTCCATAAAAGTGATGAACAGAACCGGTGACAAAGGGCAGCCCTGGCGGAGTCCAACCCTCACTGGGAACAGGTCCGACTTACTACCGGCTATGCGGACAGAACTCACGCTCCTCTGGTAAAGGGACTGAATGGCCCTTAACAGAAAGCCACCCACCCCATACTCCAGGAGCGTCCCCCACAGGGTGCCCCTGGGGACACGGTCATAAGCCTTCTCCAAATCCACAAAGCACATGTGGATTGGTTGGGCAAACTCCCATGCCCCCTCCATCACCCTTGCAAGAGTATAGAGCTGGTCCACAGTTCCACGGCCAGGACGAAAACCACATTGCTCCTCCTCTATCTGAGATTCAACTATCGATCGGACCCTCCTCTCCAGTACCTTGGAGTAGACCTTTCCAGGGAGGCTGAGGAGTGTGATCCCCCTATAGTTGGAACACACCCTCAGGTCACCCTTCTTAAAGATGGGGACCACCACCCCGGTCTGCCACTCCCTAGGAACTGCCCCCGATGACCACGCAATGCTGTGCTTTTATCCAATCCGAGGCGAGATGTCTAAATATCAGGAGATGAGACTCCAGATCCTGCCGTTTGAAGCACAACTCTGATGTCACACATTGGGCCCAATCCCAGTACTGCACCCTACGCTCTTCTGTGAAGTGTACTTGAAGGAAGTGCGCAGGAAGGCTTCAAGTGTACACAAATGTGCAAATAATTGACGCGTGACAGGATGCTGGTTGCTGTGATACTTAAAAAAAACTTTATTAACAACTTTCAAACAAACAACTGAATGATTATTTGAAATAAACTTCCATTCATTGCTGCTTTGTCTTCAACATTCAGAGCATCAAATTGAGCCTTTTCTCTTGCAGCAATGGATTGTGGGTAACATCCTTCATCCAAGTCTGCCTCGATGTGGATCAAGGGTGCAAAAGGGGCATGATCAACTTCCGCACTTGAGAATGGGGACACCCAACACACTCGCGCCCTTGGTTAGGGTTGTGCAGTTGAAGGGTGCAAGTGTGGAAGTGCGAGTGTTGGGATTGGGCTTTGTGGGCTTTTTTGTGCCCTGAGTGTGGCCTGTCAGGCATTCATTCCTACTAGAGACCACAGCAAATGTATTGATTAAACGAGTAAACCACTCCTCTAATCCATTTTTAGTATTTCCTCCTACATAAACACTGGAAGTCCAACTACTCAGACCTTTGAATGATCAAATAAAACATTTACAATACAACATTTACCACAGTCCTCCAGTGGATCTGATGCACCACCAGCTACACAAACCCTGATTGGTTACATTTTATTAATCACTCTAATAGAAACCTGTCTCTTCTCCAGTCTGCTGTAGGAATTCTGGAAAGGAACAAAGTCTTGAGTGTGAATGTGACTGGGAAGGCTGGGAGTCAGGTGGACGTACTGGTGGAGAACATGGGCCGAATTAACTTCGGCAATTCCATCAAAGACTTTAAGGTTTAACTGCAAAATGAAGGTTAAATTTGATTAGAATTTAGGGTCATTCTTATTTTTCTAATTTCTCTTCTATAATTTCTGTTCAGGGGTTGGTGTCCAATCTAACTCTCGCGGGAGTCCCCCTTTCTGGCTGGACCATTTATAGCCTCAGCATCGATGAAGCAGTCAGCCAGGGTCTCCTTGGAGAGGAGCCAGCCACATGGACAGACCCATCTCCACCTGCTGCTCTGTCACCTCCGACCTTCTACGAGGGGAGATTTATAATCCCAGACGGCATCCCAGACCTCCCTCAGGACTCCTACGTCAAGCTGCCCAACTGGAGGAAGGCATGTGGCCCCCATTAGTCATTTAGACCTGGCTGGTTGTTTATTTTAATCTTCACTGGGACAGCAAAGAGCTACGGAGAAACTGGATCATCTGTTTTATGGATTAAATTTTAGATGAACTGAAGACTTCATTTCATCACGGTAATTTCTGCATGTGTCTTTTTTCAGGGGCAGATCTGGATTAACGGCTTCAATTTAGGACGCTACTGGCCCGCTCGAGGTCCTCAGGTGACACTTTTTGTCCCCGCCCACATCCTCAGCACGGCCGCGCCCAACAACGTGACCGTCCTGGAGCTGGAGGCGGCTCCGTGCAGCGGCCAAACGTGCACCGTGGAGTTCACCGACACCCCGATCCTTAACGCACCGGTCGAGTCCGAGTACCGACACCACCGGCTGTTTATGAAAGAAGATCTACTGTGATGAGAGAAGTCGCTGCTGCACAAAAGGAATCTGTTTACACTTTATATGCAGCCCTTAAATCAACACCTGTGTGGTCAACGTGCCTGATTTTTTAAGCAGTGTTGTATAAAACGAACTTCATTAGAGGATAGAATTTCAATTTTTCTTTAATTCCTATTTTTATCTGTGTGTGTGTGTGTGTGTGTGTGTGTGTGTGTGTGTGTGTGTGTGTGTGTGTGTGTGTGTGTGTGTGTGTGTGTGTGTGTGTGTGTGTGTGTGTGTGTGTGTGTGTGTGTGTGTGTGTGTACCTCACTGATTGTTTTTTCTTACAGGGATTTAGATCTTTCTCCTTTCAAAAGGGATTATGGGCCTTTTCATCACAGTGTTTTTGAAACGTTTAGATTTTTCACGTCAAACCCACATCAGGGAAAGAGAGAAATCTCATGAATGAAGGGTTGTTGGTCTGAATCTTCTGTCTTTTTACAAGATTGGTGGTGTAATGACTCTAAATCTGTGAGAAAAAATTAACCTGCCAAACATTAGTCTGCCTTTAGGAATCCAATAAAGTAAATTTGGCTTTGGAATATTACCCTTGTGTTTGTTGTTCTGCACAATCAGTGATTCTTTATTTCTTATATATTAAATTATCAGCATAATTATTAGCTAGAAAGAGGTCTTTAGATAAGGGTACAAAAAGTAATAAGCCTCCATTTGACAAATTTGCTGATGCTTGTGCTAGGTCTTGCTGCTGACTTCGGAAACAGCACGTTTTAGTGAAAAATGCCCGTTTTTGCACATTTAGTGGCGTCTGTTTCTAGAGTTTTCCTCCAAGAGTCCAGTATCGGATTAGATTTGTGCCAATAGGATCAAGAAAAACACTTTGAAGATCAAACAAAAATTAAGAAATTGACAGAACAAAAACATCGACTAAAGGAAAAAAAAGTTTCAAAAGTAAAACTTACGATCTGAATCAACTTCTTAAAGTGAGTAACAAAGTATGTTTCCTTTTTCTGTTTGCCTCTATAGGCAAAAATATCACGATATATTGCCATATCGACATTTTAGAGACACAGTTTGATAATATCGATACAATATCACTAGAAAAATATATCACGATATACTGCCATATTGATATTTTCTTACATCCCTTGTCTGCAGTGTACTTTGTGTACACTATGGTGTGTCTTAGCTCACCAGCTGCAGTTGATGCATGTGGCCGTGTAGCACTTCCATTGAAATGCAATGCAGTAGTTTTCAATCTCAAAAGAAAGAACAACAAAAGAAATAGCTTTTAGACAAAAATATAGATTTTATGTAAAAATTAAATAATTAAAAGCATGTATTTAACTCTTTGATTATCTGTCCTGGATAACATTCTTTTGATGGAGAATACAGAGCATGTGACAGAAAGCACATTGAATCTGATTTGTCCTGTTCTGACAAACAAATGTCAGATCTGTATACAGGTAAGAAATTTATTATCAAACATACTCAATTCGATAATTATTCAGTCAGAGTTGCATCATATAATCCATTCATTTCACTGAAAAAGGAGCAGGCAGAACTATGAACTTGTTTGGCCCGTCCAAGTAGCATGGAATAAAAATGAATTGAGATGTGTTTTTAATACGTCTCTCTGGAACAATAGACCATTGTCCTGAGGCTAGCACAATGGCTTGCTTAGCAGCTAGCTAGTGAGCTAGCGTCCGGTTAAAACCAACTTAAAAAGTGGCTTAACTTACAGATTAACTAAGAAAAGATCAAATATATTATCAATACTCACTTTAGAGACACCACAGACAGCAGAAATAACGTGTTTGGGGTAGGGTTGTCACGATACTAAAATTTCAAATTCGATTCGATAGTGGGAAAAAAACTTGATACTCGATTTCGACACTATTTAAAAACACCAATTTATTAAACAAGTTTATTCAAAAAATAACATTCCTCAATTTATATTGCAAAAATTAAATGTTAAGAATTAAGTGTGTAAAGTGCTTAAATCTTTCAAGTATCAGCATTTTTTAAAACTTGCATACAAAAACTGGCGAAAGTTAACACTTTAAATCATGAATTATCTCACTATATATACATTATTTGCAGAGTGATGTTTTGCTGCTTAAACTCTGTTTAAGGTGCATTTTTGTCATAAGATGTAATGCCGTATGTTTTGTTCTTGTCTTTTGAACAACTCTGTTGGTCAATAAAGGGAGAAAACGAATTTCTCCACAGTAGGACAAAGGTACATCTAATTTTAATAAAAACAGATTGGCGCACGGCAGTGAAGTCATTAAAAGCGCCAGTTAGATTAGCCGCAGCTAGTCTGTTTACGCCTAGAAATCCCAGACCCGCTCCAAACGAACAGGGGAATCACGTTAATGGTTCCTAACAAAACCTTTCGACATGAAGATGTTTTGGTGCAGATAATGTCTTATTTCGAGGCTGCACCATGGGTGCCCGTCCGCACCCGTTATATGGATATACACTGATGGCGATTCGCCGATGGATCTAAATACCCCGGGGAATCCAAGTAGCAACAAAGTTGTCAGCGTGAGTAAACAAACGTACTGCATGCTAGAAATTAAGTCCGGGTTGCAATAAACGGGAGTTTCCTTTAAGCACATAAGTGTGAATATACAACTACGTGTCGGACTTGGTATGCTAATGAAGTTGGGCTGTGAAGCGCCTCCCAAATTCGCTGTTTATGTTTTTGTTTATTTATTTGGCAGACAAAACTTGGATTGGAGACAACTCGCGTGGGAAATTGCAATGTAGCCATGCGGCGTCTTCTTCTTCTGTTTGTCTGGGAGGCGGAGGCTGCTTTACGGCATCTGGCTGTCGTGCGTGTCGGTGTACTTGAAGAAGGCTGTGTATAATAGTCCATAATATCGATACCACAGGGATGGAATATCTCATTTAGATACCACTTTTAGCATCGATTTATATCTAGGTATCAATTTTTTTGACATCACTAGTTTGGGGCTCAAATTTCGTGTTGTTGACCGAGGTGGGAAAAAAAGTATTGGTGGCTACATCACTTCAGGGTCACTGAACTGTCACTCAACAGAAACCACTGTCCTATGGGAGAGGACTTCTCAGAAGTCCCACCCACCCAAAAGGGTTGTGTCAGAATGGCAACCAAAAACTCAGGGATTGCAAAGGAGAAAGCCAGAAAGTGTAAGTGCAAATCTGGTAGTGAGAGCAAAGCTGTGAGCAGCGAGAATGAAACTAAGGAAACTGATAACAAAATCACATAGAGGCAGATTGTAAGTTTTTATTTTGAAACATTTTTTTTCTCTCAATGTCTTAATATTTGTTTGATCTTCAAAGTGTTTTTCTTGATCCTATTGGCACAAATCTAATCCCATAGTCCTGCTTCAGCCACCCGGAGTCACCTGACGGATTCCGTCTGGAAGCGCCTGTCTGATGTCTCTGAAATTCCTAACGTTGCAAATGAGGCCTGGTCTGAGCCAGAAAACGACCTCGACTCATTTCCTTATGACGACAGCGACTTACCTGATATGGACGGAGAAATGGGTTGCAACCTAGGGTTAGAAATAAGTTTGCAGGAGGTAATTTGTGAAGACGGAGCTCCTCTTAGCTTGTTCTCCAGCGGTTCTTATCCTGATACTCAATGGGGGGAGGACGCTGGTCTGTCTCTGAATGCAGAGAGGAATAGTTGGGAGAATCAGGCAGGTCTTTCCACAATTATAGAGGAGAACTTTGAGGAGAATTATGAAATATCACTTTCTTTAGAAGAAAAGGAGGAAATGTCTCATTTTGATGATGAATTAGAGGAAATAGACAGTGACACATCTGTTTTTTCAGAAGAAGAACTGAGTCAGGGCGACACATCTTCAGATTCAGAGAAAAACTATGATTTGCTGTCTGACAGCATTGAAAGTCTCGATGAAGATGAAACTAGTTGCTCTGATCAAGAAGACGAAGATTCATTGCCTGAAGATGAAAGTCACACTGAATACTTGACGTCTAGAGCCCTGCGGCTGAAATGATGTCAGTTTCAGAGCAGAAATTAGATGAAGATAATTCTTCTCCGTGCTGGTCGTCCGGGGTGAAACACTGGATGTTTTAAATTATGATGAAGAGGAAACATCTTTGGTAATGGAGGACAGATTCTACCAAAAATAAAATTGAATAAGAAAATATATAAAATACACAAAAAAAGCAAACAAAAAAAAACATCCCTCCTGCAGAATCGCCACCTTATCATGGTGGGAGGGTTTGAGGACCTCCATATTCCTGGAAGCTGTGTAGTCTGGTTGATTAGCCCCTGTTAGGGTCTCCATGACAACGTGGTCTCAGGTAGGCGGTCGGACTAAGCGCGATTCAAACACCTAAAGATTAGACCTCCTCTATATGGATGGCGAGATCGAGGTCTTCCATGTAGAGGAGGCGCTATCCGTGGCCAGTCTTGTTGATTATCTGGTAGATGGGGATCTGACCTCTGCAGAACAGCGGTGGGGACAGGGCGTCTCCTTGGTGTGGCAAGGTGGAGAAACGAGAGCCCGGGCGGGATTCCATCCCCAGACTCCCGGGTCTGTTGCATATCTGTCTGAGGTGTTTTTTACATAGCAAAGCTGCCCTCCCTGTGGAGGGTAACTCTGAAGTGCCTTTTTTTCCCCTCCACCTGACCCAGTCCTCATGTAAACCCCTCTGATCTCTATTAAGGTAGCGCGACTCGGGATGCGAATGACCACAGTCACAATTCTTGTCATGTGTCTATGCCTATGTATGTCTGATCTCTGGGATTAATAAAGTATCTTTGAATTGAATTGAATTGGATTGAATTGAATTGAATTGAGGGTCACACGTGCTAACCAGTCAGCCAAAGGGACATCCCCATAGCCAAGTAGCCAGGGCGCATGATCAATCGGGACACTGTGACAGGACGCTCACACTGCCACATTGGTATTAGCCAAGTCATTTAGCCATTCAGGGTGAGTCCCATCCTTTAGCAGCTGCTTCATTTGTGCTGCCAGATACTCATGGAGTGCAGTGAGCTTCTTAAGCCAGTAGGCGTGGATCATGTCAGGTCCTGGAACTGTCCAGTTCTTCAGACCTGAGGCTCTTTGTTGGATGCCTGCCACAGTGATGGATACTGGGTTCTGCTCAGGGAGGTTGCTGTGGTCTTCTCTAGAGGCTAGCCCCTTTGCATCACTGTTCAGTCCCCAGCCTTGGTGAGCACTCATGGTCAGAACACACACACACACACACACACACACACACACACACACACACACACACAGGCACGCACACACACACATACATGGTCAGAACACACAGACACATGGTCAGAACACACACACACACACACACATGCACACAAACACACACACACACACACACACACACACACACACACACACACACGCACGCACACACACACATACATGGTCAGAACACACAGACACATGGTCAGAACACACACACACACACACATGCACACAAACACACACACACACACACACACACACACGCGCACACACACACACACACACACACACACACACACATACATGGTCAAAACACACACACACACACACACACAGAGTCAGAACACACAGTCACACGGTCAGAACACACACACACACACACACACACACACACACACACACACACACACACACACACACACACACATACACACACACATGCACACACACACACGCGCACACACACACACACATACATGGTCAAAACACACACACACACACACACACACAGAGTCAGAACACACAGTCACACGGTCAGAACACACACACACACACACACACACACACACACACACACACACATACACACACACATGCACACACACACACGCGCACACACACACACACATACATGGTCAAAACACACACACACACAGTCAGAACACACAGTCACACGGTCAGAACACACACACACACACACACACACACACACACACACACACACACACACACACACACACACACACATGGTCAGAACACACAGTCACATGGTCAGAACACACACACACATACACACATACATGGTCAAAACACACACACACACACACACACACACACACATGGTCAGAACACACACACTCACACACACTCACACACACACACGGTCAGAACACACACACACACACACGGTCAGAAAACACACACACACATACACACACTGTAATCTTTCCAGTTCCTGTTTTAAAGCGGGTTAAATCTTTCTTCAGAGGCCATCAACAAAAATAAAAATAGTAATTCCCTTAAATATGAAGTTGTTGCTGAATATCAGCACTGGTGTGATTCGGTCGTAGGCACGAGGCCGCAGGCCGAGTGCCATAGATAATCACACCAGTGATGATATTCAGCAACAACGCACGACCTCAAGTGTGATATTGCTTATTTATTTCTGGAAAATCATTGTGCAGTCACTAAGGAGTTGTTGGAGAAAAAATCTGATAAACGTTTTATACAGTTGAAGCAAAAATCTGAACCTAGAGAGATTTAACTAGCAATGGCAAAACCAAAAGTGTATACAAAAACAAAATAATGACGATTAGTCAGAAATGCATTTAAGTAAGCGTTTTGCTTTATCTGATTATGGAAGCCCATTCCCGCCACTCAGATAAAAAAAAATATGATCTCATAATTATGACTTAGCTATCTCATAATAATGAGATACTATCTCATGATTATGAGATAGCTAAGTCATAATTATGAGATAATAATTAATTTTTTTTAATCTGAGTGGCGGGAATGGGCTTCCATAATCTGATACATTGTTAGCATGAAGAAAAGAAAAGAAAAAAAGAAGAGAAAAATTACTAAAAGATACCAGTTGTATTTCCCATCTGCTGTTCATTTCTCAATCCAGCAGGGGGCGATGATTGTTTAAGGAGCTGCTTGTCAGACGCAAAAAGAAACCACAGAAGAGAAATTGCTGGACCGCCAGCCAATCACACTTAAGAAAAGAAGACGATGGTCTTTGGAAAGTTCAATTCTCAGAGAAGATAAGGTTATTATTCAGATGCTTTTCTTTCTATTAAGTGTTTAAAATGTGACTAAAGCGTCTAGAGTTCATTTGTTAGTGAAACATCGAGAATGATGCTACTTTACGCGACTATGATTGCCATCAGCTAGCCATGCTAGCTAGCTATCTAGGCTTTACCTAGCATAAACGTAATGGATAAACGTCACACTAGTGACTACTTGTGAACTAGACCAAATTCTTGCTTTGCAAAGTTTGTGAATATATAGTCTGCCTTGCCAGGCTAGTCACACATAGTAAACAGTTTGATTTTAGCTGGAGACGCGTGGCTAAGCTAACCTGTGTGTATGTTGGTTTTGTTTCAGACTGTTTGGGCCGTGCTGCTTCATCATGACAGAACAACGCTGACGGAGCCCGGATACCGTCAGCATGATTTGGTGCCTAAACCACAAGCGGACACATTTCTAACAACACAACCCAGGCTGTTTGGAATATCGGAACGTAAAGCTATATTTGTGTAAGAGAAGTGAGGTCTTCATCCAGACCACTATGGTGGATAATCGGTATGCCACAGCGCTGGTCATCGGCTCAGTGCTGAGCCTGATGGCCACGGTCTACCTGTCCGTGGCTGTGGGAACTCAGCACTGGTTCCAGTACAGCAGCCCGCCCCTCAAACAGGCCATCAACCTGTCGACGCTCAAAGAGGATTTCATCAGCGGAGATTTCGAGGAGAAGAACTACAGTGACACAATGTTCCGCCTGAACGGAACTCTGGGATTGTGGTGGAGGTGCATCCAGGTGCCCAGCTGGTCTCACTGGTACAAAGAGCCAGGTATTAGTCTGCATTAAATGGTATACTCAGAGGAGACTCCCAGTACTTGGTTTAAGGTTAACTATGAATGAGTGTTTAGATTTATTTTTAATTAAAATAAAAATAAAAACTTGGTGAAGACATGTAAAACTGCCAGGAATAATTCTCTGCTGAAAACAGGTTAGTCCAATCCTGGTCCTTCAGGGTTACCAACCATCATGTTTAAGTTTACTGCTTCAACACATCTGATCAGACAGTCCAACCTGTTCAGGGTTCCATCAGGTTCTGCTGAAGCCGCCACCTTCTTCATTGTGAAGACAGGGTGGACGCCCTGGAGGTGTATTGCTGCTTCAGCCGTCCTAACACGACCAAATCTGAGCTCACAGCCTAACGTCCACCTCTACTTTTTGATAAAAAATCTGCTAAAATGTAACATTTGTTACTGTATTTAAAAACATTTAAGTGATAAATTAAGCTTCTATGAAGCTGATTAAAGATTTTAATGAGTTTCTTAATCAACAGATGGTCTTCATCCAGGCAATGACAGTAACGACAGAACACAGCCCTCAGAGTGCACTCATCTAAGTGGATGTCCAGGTAGTTTACCGTAAACCTCAGCGAAGCTGCTGGTTTGTTTGCCTTGATCAAGACATTAAACTTATTACTCTTCATCCTTTACCTTTTGCTTTACAGGCTAATCATTTTAGCTAACTAATGTTGATCAAAACTCTGGAGATTTAGATGGCACTTTGATTTCCATAAGCAAATAGAAATGGTTTGTTACAAAGAGTCTACACTAAGAGAGTGATCCAGATTATATCCTACAGATTTGCTACCCAGGAAACGGAATCAAACACCATTTTCTCCACTGATGATGTGGATCCTTTAAGAAATTCTCTGGCTAAAGATGTTTCTCAGTTTCCTTTCAAAAAAGTTCACATCCCATCTACATCTACGTTTTCCAACATTTCTTTAACCAGTTATTGACGTCTTACCGTCTACCGTACAAATGAATAAACAAGAGCTGCAAGACCAGTTCCATACCAAGAAAGATAAGTTGGTCTTCCTGCAGGATGAAAGACTCACTGGAGAATATCAGGAGCCTCCTGTTCACCTGGTCTCATCGTTTATCAAGATTCCTTTTCTTTTGTCCAATTAAAACTGAGTGTTGACTATTTGTAATGCCTATAGTACTATAAACAAGGCAAGTGATCCATGTCATGGTGCAATTGGATGGGGGTGATGAAGCTCATCTACCGATGGTGGTTTGTGTTAAGGTGGTAGTCACAGTGCTGATTGTTTGGTGCTGGTTTGTGTGTGAGACGGCACTGTTTCTCATGAGGAAGCCTGGAGCTGTATCAAACCACTTTTCACACACCAAGGATCTGTGTTGTTTCCCTTCAGACCCAAAGATGGAGACCCACTGCGTGAGCTTCACTCTTCCTCAGCAGTTCAAACAAAAGTATAAATACCAGGAGGACAGCCCCGAAGATCTGCTGAGAACCTGTGAGTGTCGCGTCACCGCTCCTCTCCGGAGATGCTATCCTAATTCCAATAACTTTTGAACTGGTTCTTGTTGTTGGAACACTTAAACACAGTCATGCGCTTGATGGTGTAAAAGTTCAGCTGCTCATCTTTGTTATCTGTGATCCAGACCTGTGGAGGTGCCAGTTCCTCTTGCCCCTGGTGTCCCTGGCTCTGGTGTTTCTCAGCGGGCTCGTTGGCGTGTGCGCCTGCCTGTGCCGCAGCTTTACGCCCACTTTGGTTGTGGGAGTACTCCATTTTCTTGCAGGTGAGGAAAAAAAGCATTCATTTTTCTAACCGCGCACCACAGACCATAATAAACAAACTAGTGTTGTTTCTATCGGTCTGTTTACAGATGTGGGATGTGAGATAGGGCTTTAAGGAAAGATTGAATCATGATTTCAATTTGAATCACAAGTTTCTTCAAATCAAGCACAATATTCACAATGTGCAGTAATATTTGTAAAGATGATGACATCATACATCTGCATGCATGCATGCATGTTACCATAACAAACATGCATGCAGTTTTCTCTGCATTGTTTACTGAGGCAGGGCCCCTAGAGCAGTGGTTCTCAAATGTTCCATCTTCAGACCCACAAAATGGCTACCGTGTTGACCCGAATATAAGACGAGGTTTCTTTCATCTAAAATAATTTTAAAATGTCTTATAATCGGGGTCTAACCATTACACGCCCGTAACAGCAGAGGGCGCCAGGTCGTGTGTTCTTAACAGGAGAAAAAAATAGTCTGGGGCAGAGTGGACCGAAAGTGGGGCAAGTTAACAAGCTATAAGGTAGAGTTATGCAAATTTTAAGATGACTGTAGTCATTTCAGCAGAGGCGTCAAGCATAGCATGCATGGATGCCTTGGATGGCAGTGAGGATGACGTTCTGGGAGGAGTCGGCAGGTGAAGCGATCTGATGGTCCACCAGGACCGCAGCAGCATGAGTGAGAATGAGAGTACAGCGAGGCAGAGGGCGTCTGAATAAAACTTTTGATTTCACATGTCAGCAAAGTTCTGATAGTTTGCGTTAAAACAGTATTTTTAATCAGTATTTGTTCTCAAATTTTCAATACAAATAGTTTATTTAAAAAGTGATTTTTTTTCCTGAAGATTAGTCTTAGAAAGAGTGTTCGTCTTATAATCGGGCCAATACGGTATTGTCCAATCATGTGACCCCAGGCAGCTCTGGTTAAAAAGCAAAACAATTCAATTTAATTGAGTTTTTGTAACCATAATGTTAAAAATGTAGCTTCAACGAGTGTTTTTCAGTTTTCTTTTGTGATTTCTCTAAATCAAGACCCCTTGTGCAGTTCCTGGTGACCCACAGTGGGGTCTGGACCACATCTCTGGGAACCGCTGCTCTAGAGGGGTTTCTGGGCTGTCTGGTTGTTTTTTACTCACAAAAACATGCCCCAACACCAAACGCTGAGACGGTTCTCATGCTTAGTGAATCAGAAAATAAAATCCAAGGATTTATGTAGAATAGAAGTTGACCTCTCAAGACTACATAATGTTTTTACGGGAAGTAATTTTCCGCTGTTGCAGGAAGCGTGTGAGTTAGCTTCTGTGTCTCACACTCGCCAACGGTGCTGTAAAACCAACCAAAGCAGTAAATCAACCAGATGTGCTGCTCCGTCAGGTCAGTCATTAGGCTCTCCTAACCCTCTGCAGCATAAGACTTGTAGATCCTGGAGGAACCCCGAATGTGTCACGACAGATCCTGGGTCAGTAAGGAGCGCTGTAAAAATCGATCACATGATGGCGTAGATGGAAGCCCTGATGTTAGATGCACTCTGCTTGTTATTTCCAGATTCGTCTGAATCTTTAAATGTCCCAGAAATGGGTGAAATGTTCCAGTGATGTTGGAGCGTTTTGAGTTTAAACTCTGCTTTGAAATGTTTACGGCCTCTCTGGTTTCTGTGTTTGGCTTTAGAACCACACTTATGTTGTTTGCGTAAAGTCGTCATTGGCTGTCGGACCAACGCTGCTGCTTTACATGAGAGCTATAACTCCTCCCACTTCCTGTTCTCCCATCAGGTCTGTGCTCTCTTGGCACCGTCTGCTGTTTCCGAGCTGGTGTGGATTTGCTGCATCACAATCACGAACCCCCAAGCGGGGTGGATGGCTCCATGGGCTGGTCGCTCTACCTCGCCCTCATCTCCTTCCCTCTGCAGATGATGGCAGCTGCTCTGTTCCTCTGGGCAGCCAAAAGTCACCGCAAGAGCTACACCCGCATGGTGGCGTACAGGGTAGCGTAAACGTGAGCAGTAGCATACTTTAAACAACCAACAGGTCCCAGATCTTCCCGATAACCGCTTGTGGAGCCGGTCGGTGAAAAGCAGAATGCACAATGAAACAATCACAGGGTGTCGCTGACCTGCGTCACATGCAGAAGCTTCCTCCTCCTCTTTAGGTTTCTTTGCATGCTTCCAGATGTTTTGGTGTGAGATTATCTTTTGTGCTCTTGTTGTTTTGTTGCCAAAGCTTCTAAGCTGCTCACCACATCCTCCTTAATTCAGCTCAAGATGCTAAACCTGCACTATAAAGACTTTCAGACCTGGACCAGGTCTAGGTAGCTATTTCCGTGTGACTAGAATATCAAACATGCCTTCATTTTAGTGTTTTGTTGTCTTGTTTCTGCACAATTTTAAATATCAAGCCTTTGCACGTCTTTTTCGAGATGACCTTTCCATCTGTGGTAATTGTGGGTTTGAGCCTGTGTGGTATGTCACCGTTAAATGTCACCAAATGTCACTCACTGAGAACGGAACCACTCACCTTCCATTGTCACTGGGGTTAATACGCCAACTGTGTGTTTAAAATGCAATTAATTAGGATTATTCAGTTTAATTGACTTGATGTCACTCGGGGAGACCAGCTCCTTTTAAACTAAACCACTGCCGTTTTAACACTTTTTAACCTTTTAACTCGAATCGTGTAGAACTCCGTTTTTGTTGGCTTAGGAACGAATGGCTGCTTGACCACAGCGTTATTACCGTCATTTAAATTAGCAGCAGCAATAAAATCTTCAAAAGTTTAGCAATAATGATGCTTTAGCAGTGAAGTTAAACCCGAGCGCTGCGATCCTTCAGAAAGGATGGATTATGGTTCGGAGTCAAGACCAATGGGGAATAAAATAAAACTTTATAAAGAAAATTATTCTCCAGAAAGAGAGTTTGTCTTGGTGCGAATCACTTGTGACTTTTTTAGTTTCTAGCTCTTGGCTGGTTAACACAAGTACAAGTGTGTACACCACGGTGTCTGCTTCCATGTCTGATATGAATTCTATGCCTTTGTAAAAGTTTTAGGTGTTCTGAAGCACATTGTTTGTACTTGTTCTGTATTATTAAATCAGACATTTGCCAACTTTTAATAGTGTTTTGTGTCACTTTTATTTAAATATTATAAGTAAGATCTTAAAACATGTTTTTGTACATTTATACCTGCAGCATTAATCTAGTTGTGATTCTGATGGTGATACAAAGATTTCATGTAATTTTACATTTATGAAGAAATTTTTTTGTACACTTTTAGTTCTTTGGGATTGATTGTTTTATTTTTCTTGAAATCGTTAAAAACTAACGAACAAAGAGATATTCAGCACCCCCCAGCAGGCTAGAGGATTTCAACGATCAGAGATTTTCCAATATGCTTATTCTGGGATTATATAATTCAGTTTATCTATATTGCACCAAATCACAGAATCGTCTCAAGGCACTTCACAAAGTCAATATTCCAATTGATTTCAGTTCAACCCAGCAGACTGCATCAAGTTAGTCTTTACAGCAATCCTCATACTAATCAAGCATGTAGCGACAGTGGAGAGGAAAACTCCCACGACTTGCAGGGGTTTGAGAAGACAGACACACATGTATGAGCTGTGCAAATGAAAAATAAAATTTGTTTATTTGTTTTTACTTTTAAAAAATCTTGATTATCTTTGGTCGTCTTGGAAATCTATGCTGTAGATTTAAAAACGCTAAATAGAAGAAGCTGTCAATCATAAGGAATTGATGATGTCCTCACCTCTTCCCAGAATGTTTTATTTGGACACATCTCAGAATTTTGTTCAAATATTAAAGAAGAAATTTGAGAGTTTTTGTCAGAGGGCACCATCTATAGGCGGAAACATGTACTGCACCTTAAGCTCTACTTCCTGATAACAGCTGGAAGCAACGCCCCTTGTTCATGAACATGCATCACCAGCTTGCCAATAATTAACAGAGAATAACAAAGACTTCAATCCAATCCCAACACTTCCACACTTACGCCCTTCAATGCCCTGTTCTTGTCCAGGGATGCGTAGGGTGTCCTGATTCTCACTATGACCCTCACTTGATCCACACTTTGCCCAAGTCCACATCGATGCAGACTTCGGTGAAGGGTATCATCCACAATCCATTGCTGCATGGGAATTTTGAGAAGAAGGTGGAGCAAAGGCTCACGTGCCTTTTCTGTAAATATGTCTTTTAAAGTTAATTTAAAGCCAATAATTATTCATGCTCTGAATGTTTTAGACTAAGATTCAATATGGACAGCAATGAATGTCAATTTTGTAAATTGTTTCTTTGAAAGTTGTTAATAAAGTTTTAATTTTTAAAGTAGCACCACAACAACCGGCAGGCATCCTGTTATGTGTTTGGCATTTGACAATTAATGCACACTTATTTACTACACACTCGAAGCCTAGCTTCCTCCTAGTGCACTTCAGGAAGACTGTAGGGTGCAGTGTGAATATTGGGATTGGATTTAATGTCCATAAAAAATGTCGCCAGCTCTGCGTCTGCCTAGGTACGTCCTCAAACGCTCGTGCACACGCTGTGATTGATCTGTAAGTGGATGTCCAATGCTATTGGCTGATGCCAAATGGAGCTCAATTCAAATTGGATGGGGCTCCGTGGGATGGGGGCCAGGATTAGCAAAAGAAATAGACGTATTGCCTACATTAAATCACAGCAGAGTGAGACTGTCACTGGTATAGATGTTTTAATCCTACATAGTTCCTAAAAGGGAAAAAACTGGTTTGCTGTTTTAACCAAAACATTCACAGTTCTTCAGTACACCTTTAGCTAAAAGCCCTGAGAATGAAATTAATCCAAGCACAGTAAGTGTTACAGATAATCTTTAATCCCATTTAACAGAGGTAGTCATGTTTCCAGTTTCTCTCATTGCTTTTAAGTGAGGAAGCTCTTGGTCCTCTCTCAGTTCTTCTTCATGCAAACAGGAGGCAGTTGGAAAGTTGTCTTCTGACCCAAGTGGAAAGCAATCTTCTTCTCATAGTAGGCACATTCATTCACAAAGAACGGGTGGAGCTCGTCTCCCTCGTGCTCCACCGTCTCTCCGGTAAACGACAGGAACACTGGATCCCCGCGGCGCAAGAGCTTAAAATCATTATCCTGAAAAACGATGTGCAAATGATTTACTCTTTGGTTGCTATAGTTACTTTGTTGGTGAACAGGTTCCTGTGTGATCCTATACCTGCAGCTCAGGGTGTATAGTAGCGGTGATTTCACCAGTCTGGTCCCTTGGGTAGTCCACACTTTTTACCACAGTGAACACTTCCACCTCGCCTGCTTCAAAAGTGCATCCTGGAGATGGAGAAGACATGATGCTGGAATCAGATGTCAGTTAAACCCTGATCTCTAACCTTTTGTCAGAGGAAGTAATTTTATTCAAACACTATAAAACAAAAACGTTGGATAACTTGTGCATTCAGGAGCTGGCGCGTGCTGTCGTCTTACCAGAGTTAAACTCCTGGATCCAGTCCATTGTGAGGTCCACCGTTTTCTTCATCATGTTGAAGATGTCAGCCCTGAGGACGCCGTTGGGCTGAGGGCCAACTTCTATCGCTGTAAAAAAAAAATTCTGTCATTAGTACAAACATCCAGGAGAAAAACAACCTTCCACAGACCCACAGTTACCGAATCCATGCTTTCCCACTGCTTCCAGGGAGTAAGCATCAGAAATTGGAACGCCCACATCAATTGCTCTTACGGGCAAAGGAGACATTTTGTTCTGAAAATCAAATGAGTTCAAATGGTTTTCATTATACTTAGAGGCCAGATTATATAATAAAGATGTGTGTGGAGGGTCTTGGTACCTTTATGTACCTGTAGATGTGCAGGGTGAGCCAGTCTATGGAGTAGAAGAGGAGGCACACGCCCATGTTGGCGGTTGTGTTGTGCAGGTCTATGAGTAGATCTACCGCCGCCTCACTTCCTTTGGGTCCCAGCTGAGCATTCAGCTCTTGAGCTCGCCTCACCTCATACACACTTGACTCTGTCAGAGGGGAACTGCAGAACCAGAGAGCATGTTTGCTTTCACTTCTTTCTACTTCTGGGACCACTTCCTTATTTCCTACCTCAGGTGGGCGTCACTGAAACAGCGGTTGAGATCCATCTCGGCGTATCTTCGACCGAGGGCAACGGCCCGCGGATTTGTCAGAACAACATCTACTGAAGTCAATCCCACCTTTTCCACCTTCTGCTTCTGCATTTCTCTCACAACGTAAACCCCCGTCAGCTCATTTCCGTGTGTCCCACCACAAACAGCAACGGTGGACACCGGTGAGAAAGACTCGAGCTCCATCTTCTGCATCTCCTTCACCTGAAAGCAGCAAAGCTCTGAACTCGACGGGTTTGTGTCTGACACAAAACCGGGCTGAGATGGGCTGAAGTCCAGGCGTGAGTTAATGAAATGAGGAAATAAGTAACTGACTCTTTAACACACTCTCTTAGCTGAAAAGCAAGCCTTTGGAGCACGGCTGTATGCAAATGGTTCCCACACAGGTAAACTGACTCTACTGACCGAGTAAATGTTTATTTTATCTTTGCTGGAAAGTTTTCTAACCGGCTCCACCTTTATGCATGAGTTCGGTCCTCAGAGGAGAGTTTCAGTCGGAAGGCAAGACAATTAGCATGTAGTAAAATGTCTTTTGGGTGCTAAATTCACAATTGAAATACTGTCACAGTAACTGATTTTTCCTGCACTAAAATCAATTGAAACGATCTCTATGTGAACTCTTTGATAACCTTCAAGTGTTCTGCAGGTCACATGTTTCAAACCTCTTATTCTACTGACCAAATCATCTAGAAAAGCCTGTTTTTGTTGTATAAATATAAAAAAAAGCAGCTTAAATTGCATTAAACAATATGTGCGTTTATTTTTACGACTTGTCGTCACCTGGATTGCTTTGATTGCCTTGTTTGAGGTCATGTGCTATCAACAGGTCACCTATCTGTGGTGAGCGGACACAGATGAGTAACAGAACGCTGCAGATTTCTCACAAACAAAAGTGGCAGAGCCTCTGTTATTGTTTCCAAATCTCTCTAAAGTCTCCTTTGTCTAAGAGGATCATTTTCCAGGGATTCTTTATTATCTGGACATTATCTATTGGTGTAAAGTATTTAGGAGATCTCAAGATTTGAGTTTTAAGCCTGATTGTTGTGAAACTGTTTCAGAACAGCTTTCTGCTCCCCGACTCAGGATCAACAATAAAAACTATGGAGGCTCAAACGGCACATCTGCTGCGAAGGCCCAATAGGGGAACCGTTTGGCGTCCTGTGAGGAGCTGGGTCAGCATTTCACAAGTTTATCAAGAACATATCACTAAATTTAACATGTTTTGTTCATTATTTTTATTTTGCTATCTAGATGTGGTCAACACGTTCACAAAACTTCTTCTGCAGACGGGTATGAATGGTGATCTGAGCGTCTGTTAAAGTCTCTGCAGGTCAAAACGTGTGCACGGCAAGGACATAATCAGAAAACCACTAGAAGATAAACAGAGAGTCTTACTTCTCTGTGTGGATCCGGTCCTGTTTACTAAACCTGAGCAACCTTTGAGCTTAGAGGAAGTCGTCATAAACAGAAACTCCCAAGCAGGAATTGCCAGCAGCTGCAGCCTCGTAAACCTGTTATTCACTCACACGCCCTGACAGGAACGACCAGGAGGGAATAGGGACTTCTCCCGTTCTGTATTCCTACTTCCTTGTGTCGTTTTACCCTCGTTTCCATGCCCCTTCTCTTCGTCTTTGCGTGTATCAAATTTCAGACAGTGGAACAGTTTATGACGTAACACAAACTCGCCGTCTTGTTTTTTATCTGCCGCTCCAGGAGGCGTCACTCGCAGCACCATGTGGTTTCTGTGGTTTGACTGGGAGGCAGCAGGAGGAAGAATAAAGTAAATGTTTATCAGAGGAAAATGAAAAAAGAAGAATTTGATCAGAAAAGTGTTCTTTTTATGTATTATTCTATCTGTTCTTGTGCATTTTTTCCTTTAAATGTGTGGTGCTTTCATTAACCCTGTAAAGGGTCATTTTAGCACAAGCTGGCTGAAGAAAAGAATTAAAAATATGAAAAGTTGCAACGTATCTCTTTAAGAATTAATAAACAAAGGGTCCCTATATTAATGTTTTTATATAATTGGTCTGTGTACTTTGTTTCAGTCCAATAGAAAGCTACATCAGGCAAAAATAAACCAAAATGTCTCTTTTATGCCAAAAATGACACCAAATCCTGAGATTTATGTTAAAGTTGTAACGTCCAAAAAATTAGTTTTGTCTACTAATCCCTGATTCCTACTGTGGTACGTTCACATATAGCTTTTATTACTATCAACACTGATTTACATTCTAGTGTTTCTTCTTTATTTTATTACTTCTTTTAAATATATTTCTGCATTATTTCATTACAGCTGATTTCTTTATGACATATCTATTATGATCTCCTTTATTTTGAATTTGACCAGCTATGGGCTACAGATGATTTTGCCCTTCTCTTTAGATAACATTTTTGCTCAGAAGCGTGATTTTCCCTTACATACACTCAACAAAAATATAAACGCAACACCTTTGTTCCTGCTCCGATTTTTCATGAGATGGACTTAAAGATCTAAAATTCATTCCAGATACACAATATCACCATTTCTCTCAAACACTGTTCACAAATCAGTCTAAATGTGTGATAGTGAGCACTTCTGCTTTGCTGAGATAATCCGTCCCACCTCACAGGTGTGCCACATCAAGATGCTGATCCGACATCATGAGTAGTGCACAGGTGTACCTTATACTGCCCACAATAAAAGGCCACCCTGGAATGTGCAGTTTTGTCTCACAGCAAAATGCCACAGATGCTACAAGCATTGAGGGAGCGTGCAATTGGCACGCTGACAGCAGGAATGTCAACCAGATCTGTTGCTCGTGCATTGAATGTTCATTTCTCCACCATAAGCCGTCTCCAAAGGCGTTTCAGAGAATATGGCAGTGCATCCAACCGGCCTCACAACAGCAGATGACGTGTAACCACACCAGCCCAGGACCTCCACATCCAGCAGGTTCACCTCCAAGATCGTCTGAGACCAGCCACTCAGACAGCTGTTGAAACAATTGGTTTGCATAACCAAACAATTTCTGCACAAACTGTCAGAAACCGTCTCAGGGAAGCTCAACTGCATGCTCGTCGTCCTCATCGGGGTCTTGACCTGACTCCAGCTCGTCGCCGTAACAGACTTGAGTGGGCAAATGCTCACATTCGATGGCGTCTGGCACGTTGGAGAGGTGTTCTCTTCACGGATGAATCTCGGTTTGCATTGTTCAGGGCAGATGGCAGACAGTGTGTGTGGCGTCGTGTGAATGAGCACTTTGCTGATGGCAATGTTGCGAAGAAGATGTGTTGCACTGTATGAGGCAAATGGTGGTCACACCAGATACTGACCGGTTCTGAGTCCCCAAACCCCCAATAAAGCAAAAAACTGCACATTTAGGTACACATGGTGCTAGGCTTCCTTTTATTTGTTGTTTTACATCAGATGCAATCTATGTGTGTCTACATTGAAGTGCCCTGTGTGTGTGTGCTCGTCTCCTCTCCTGAGTTTCGCCAGTGGTCCCCACTCCCTGGGAGGACCTCTCTGCTTCATCACCTGATTCTGCTGCTTGTGGTTCCGGTCAGTTTGGGTCTGGACGTCCTATATTTTCTCCAATATGTTAATATATCCTATAGTTACCCCTACAAAGGGATACTTAGCAAATTTTTCATATTTTTGAGCAAGTATTTTTGCCAGAATAGTCCACTTGCAACTTCAGAGTTGCCAGTCCGCTCTGCTGAGCTGACATACCTGGCACTGCAGTCTGGTTTCAGCACGTTTCCTGCATGTTTTAGATCATGAACACAGCTGATTTGTTTAATTTAGAGATGACTCGCCCCTGTAGACTCTAATGAAGACTGGGGAGACGTTTCAGCTGTTAGATTAAGGTGTAAAAAAAGACGAACGCACGGCGAGGAGGTTTTGTTTTTTGTACAACAAACGAACACTAGGGGGTGCTAAAAGCAAGTCCAAACTGCCTAGCCTCCCTTTAACATGGAAATGAAAAATGAATCCTGAATCCAGGTCAAACTTTGATCACGTTAGGTTCACTAACATTTATGCGTTTTCCTTCAGGGATTTATTGACTTAATCTCTGCTTGTCTTCGCCCTGCATGAATCACAATTATTACACAGATGAAACACCTGACACAACCACATGCCCATCATCCATGCTGCCTCCCTCCTTTTGGTAAAACCTCCTCTGATTGTTCACACACGGTCGAGGAATCAATGCAGATGCTGCCAGTGATTCTATCAGCATTAACTTTAATGGGTACTGACCTTTTTAATGTGGATGACAGGGCGTGTTTAAAAGGGGATTGAATGGTGACATTTGAAACAGGGAGTGGTCCAGAAGAGGAGGTCTCTGGTTAATGAGGTCTCACTGAGAGGAAACAGATTATCTGACCTTCTGATGGTCTTTAAGGAAGGAGTACATCTTCTGTCATTTAAGTTTGAAAAGTGAACGTCTGACAGAGGAAAGATGACCATACGTCTAGAACTTGGTAAAGGGGTAAAAATTTGAGATGATAGCAAACATCTGCTGAAGTGAAACATCCATCCATTTTCAGCTGCCTATCTTCAGCGCCTCCATGCGGAACGGCGTTTCTGGGATGCGGCGTTGCGCTCCCCGCGTCACTATTAGTAACCGTAATGTCTTCTTTTTAAATCGATGGCGCAAGCATGACGTAACACAGCGCATCTGTCTTCTGTGTGACCCAGGCTTAAGCAGAGAGGCCTAGACTTCCCCCTCCCCAGCCACTTGGGCCAGCTCCTCCAGGTGAATCTCAAGGCGTTCCCTGACCAAATGAGGAACACAGGCCTTCCTGCATGCCCTGGGTCTTCTTTTGGGTCTCCTCCCAGTTGGACGTGCCTGGATAACCTCACCAAGGAGGCGTCCAGGATGCATCCTAACTAGATGCTCGAGCCACCTCAACTGGCTCCTCTTGATGTGAAATGAAGTGAAACAACAAAAAGGAACTCAGCGGGTCAACGTTAAAGAGCAAGTCACCCCCAAATAAACTTTTTTTTTGCTGATAAACTAAATAAACGAGTGTCTAATCGTGCTGCAGACACGTGTCGTCAATAATTTGGCACTTCAGTGCATCTTAGTTAAAAATTTAAATATTCTGCCTAAAACTGTCAGTGTTGTGCCGTTGTCAGGTAAAAACTCTGCACTGTATTCTAATTTAAATCTGCCACCGCTATTGGCTAAGAGGTATGCTATGATGTAAACTGGTACATTATGATGTCACAATGCTGTCGTGAGCCTGTGTGTGTGTGTGTATTTGTTAGCAGCTCCGCCCTCTCGGTCTGCCTGGCAACAGCATTTGTTGCATTTTTCAAACATGAAGTGGGAGTGGAGTTAGACTCTGGTAGGGGTTGACTTGCTCTTTAAAGTTAGAAGCATATGGCCACACACACACACACACACACACACACACACACACACACACACACACACACACACACACACACACACACACACACACACACACACACAACACACACACACACGGTTTGTCGTAACTCATTCTTAACTAATATATTGATTTTAAGCTGTTAACGTGTTTTATTCCCATATATTCTGTACAATTGTGTTAATGATTTAATTTGATGTTTAATTTGTGTCACCTGGAAGAAGTTAATCATTTTAAACCTGTTTACTTGTTGTGGATTCAATAATATAAAAGGTGTTAGCAGGAACGACACACTCGGCTTCAATCAACAAAATGTTATCAACTGAAACAACACAACATGAATCCAAGTCAGTCACACGTCTGTGAAATCAAACCGCCCACTCAGGAAGCAACACTGACTGACAATCCGTTCCACCTGCTGTTGTGCTAATGGAATGGAAGACAGGTAGAAATTATTGGCAATTAGCAAGACTTCTCCAAAGGAGCGGTTCTGCAGGTGGTGACCACAGACCCCTCCCCAGTTCCTCTGCTGATGTTTTAGTCCCTTTTCAATGCTGGTGGTGCTTTCATTCTAGTGGTAGCATGAAACAGAGTCTACAACCCACACAGGTGGCTCGGGTAGAGCAGCTCATCCAGGATGGCACATCTGTGCGAGCTGTGGCTAGAAGGTTTGCTGTGTCTGTCAGTGTGTCCGGTGCATGGAGGCGCAGCAGGAGACTTGCCAGTTCATCAGGAGTCGTGCAGGAGGTCATAGGAGGGCAACAACCAAGCAGCAGGGCTGCTCTTTTGTGCAAGTGGGAACAGGAGGAGCACTGCCAGAGCCACTGCCATGGTGGCCTGTGTTCTTCACAGATGAAAGCAGGTTCATACTGGTGGTGGATAACGTTCTGCTGCCCGCAGCCTCCTCAAGCAAGACCAGTTTGCCAGTGGGTCAGAAATGGTGTGGGGTGGGCACGCAGCCCTCCATGTGCTCACCAGAGTTAGCCTGACTGCCATTAGGTACCGAGATGAGATCCTCAGACCCCTTGAGACCATTGGCTGGCGCGGTTGGCCCTGGGTTCCTCTTAATGCTGGACCTCGTGTGGCTGGAGTGTGTCAGCAGTTCCTGCAAGACGAAGGCTTGATGCTATGGACTGGCTAGCTCGTTCCCCAGACCTGAATCGAATCGAGAACATCTTGGATGTCTCTCTCCATCCAACTTTACCACAGACAGTCCAGGAGATGGTGGATGCTTCAGTACAGCCCCGGGAGGAGATCCCTCAGGAGACCATACGCCACCTCATCAGGACCATGACCAGGAGTTGTGTGTGTGTGTGTGTGTGTGTGTGTGTGGGGGGGGGGGGGGGGGGGGTCATATAGGAGCATGGAGGCACTAATGAGCCTTATTTAGACTTGTTTTAAGGACATGACATCAAGCTTGAATCAGCCTGCAGTGTGACTCCAGATCCAGACCTCCATGGGTTTATTTGGTAATGTGTGATTTTGTTGAGAGCACATGCAACGATGTAAAGAACAACGTGTTTAATGACAACATTTAATTCATTCAGATCTGGGATGTCTTATTTTTTGAGAAGTGTAGATCAGTCTTCTCTGCTCACACATGGGTGGTTTATTTAAATAAATGAATGTTTTATGAGAGTAAATCCCTTAATTCTGAGGGTTTTATTCATCCAGACTCTCCAGACATATTCCAAGATCCAGTAGGCCGAGGATTAAGCTTACATAACAATCATTCATAAAACCCTGATTTTGGCTTTGCTGTTTCTTTTTTGACAGTGAGGGAAGAATGGTGTTACACTGGGCTGATCAGACCTCCAATTCAGGGAACAGCAGCTGGACATCTGTGGAATAAAAGCTCCAAACAGAGTTACAGGACAACTAATGCATGATGATGCTTGGAGGTCATTTCTGCTGGATATCAGGTTTGGTTTATAGCGTTTAAAGTTGTTGCTAATTCAGAGATCTGAAATTGTACGTTTCTCTCACATCTTTGAACCACTTTAATAATTGTGTTTTGTCATCTACAGGAAACGCCCACAGATGGATCTTTGCGTCAGGACCACTCCGGTCTCCTTAACGCCGCTGCGCAGCAGAAGGGCTTCTCTCCTCCTCTGACAGCAGCAGTAATCTGACCCAGATCCTTACAGAATGGCTCCTGGACCGGATGGATCCAACTCCAGCAGAGTTCTGGCCAACCAGTTCGTCCAGCCGGCGTGGCGCATCGCGCTCTGGTCCATGGCTTACATCACGGTGCTGGCGGTGGCGGTTTTTGGCAACCTGATCGTGATCTGGATCATTCTGGCGCAAAAGCGGATGCGGACCGTCACCAACTACTTCCTGCTGAATCTGGCTTTCTCCGACGCGTCCATGGCCGCCTTCAACACGCTCATCAACTTCATCTACGCGGCGCACGGAGAGTGGTACTTTGGAGAGGTCTACTGCAAGTTTCACAACTTCTTCCCCGTCACTGCTGTGTTCGCCAGCATCTACTCCATGACGGCCATAGCCTTGGACAGGTAAGACTCACAATAGCATAAAAATTCTGGGCAACAGCCTGTTTAAAAAATCCATTTGACTTGAATCGACAAAGACACGGACTGGAAGTCGCATTTCTGATGAATCATGACAGATTTTGGCCTCAAAAACAGATTCAACACTAGTGAGTTGTGAACTTCAGCGTTTTTAAATATTTGATATTTTCTTCAGAGAGAAGATGACAATCATATTTAGAAGGACATGCAACATCATCACAGTCCTTTCTTCTGATCCATCCGATGATCTGCTGCTTATTTTTGTAAAATAACACTTTTCTGGATGCTTTTATTGCTGCACTGATTGCATTGAATCAGTCTTGTAACTTGACTAAAGACTTGCATGATAATAATAATAATAATAATAATAATAATAATAATAATAATAATAATAATAATATTACACAGCAGTGCTCATCCTGCCATCAACATTTGTGTCTGTGAAACAGCTTTTGACTATCTGTCCACTTAAATCATTAAGTGCGTTTGGTTATTATAAATCTGGTTTGGTATCAAGCTTTTATTATGAAGAATAGTTGATTAACATATTATTAAAAACTGATAGATGGAGTGGGAGATTGGTTGGTGCCACGTCTGAAGTGATGCGGGCGTTGTACCGGTCTGTTGTGGAGAAGAGAGAGCTGAGCCGGGAGGAAAAGCTCTCGATTTACCGGTCGATCTACGCCCCTACCCTGATCACAAGCTTTGGTGACAGAAAGAATACGATCACAGATACAAGCGTGGCTGGGCTCTCCGTCAGAGATAGGGTGAGAAGCTCAGTCACTCAGGAGGGGCTCGGAGTAGACCTGCTGCTCCTTCACGTCGAGAGGAGCCAGTTGAGGTGGCTCAGGTGTCTGGTCAGGATGCCTCCTGGACACCTCCCTGGTGAGGTTTTCCGGGCACGTTCAACTGGAAGGAGACCCAAAGGGAGACACAGGGCGTGGTGGAGGGATCATGTCTCTCGGCTGGACCTGGAACGCCTTGGGACTCCCGCGGAGGAGCTGACCCAAGTGAATGAGGAAACGGAAGTCTGTGGATCTCTGCTTAGGCTGCTGCCCCCGCGACCCAAACCCAGATAATTGGAAGAGGATGGCTGGATTATGAGAAAGTAGATTTGTGCACACTTGCTGGATTTAAACAGGAAAGAAATAATTGAGTTTTGAAAGTAATGCAGGATACATCACTGATGAGACCTCCTCAGACAGATCAAGGCTTTGAACAAATTATGACTGCTAATTTGAATCTAATTAGAACGAGGGGCAACAATTGTGTCTGCTGGAGGTGCATTTTCCCTTTTCTCAGCTCTTAAACGTTAAAGCTGCTGTTAAAAGCTCCGACGTTCGTGGGTTTTACTAATAAAAGCCTCATCATGAGGCTTAAAGGAGATTTATAGCTCTCTAGAGCCTGGTTATTAACAACCTCAGGGGGAATCTTCCCGATTTTACCTAGAGTTTGCTTTGAGTCATGCACATGCCATCTGTAGGCTACAAACCCAGCAGAACCTCCATGTTTGTTTTTGTGGGCTGCACCTTTCAGATACATGGCCATCATCCATCCGCTGAAGCCTCGTCTGTCAGCAAAGGCCACCATCGGCATCATCTTCTGTATCTGGAGTCTGGCCGTGGTCCTGGCCTTCCCTCTCTGCTACTTCTCCACCACCCGGATACTTCCAGGCAGGACCTTCTGCTACGTGGCCTGGCCCCGCGTGGCTGACGACCCGTTCATGTGAGGCCCTGCAGACATCGAGCACCACCTGGTTGTTTTGCAGCTCACTAACCCCCCCCCCCCCCCCCCCCCCTTCTGTCTCTGGAAGCTCTGACGCACCTTGGCGATGCGTTTTCTTCTTGTGTGCAGGTATCACATCATCGTCACGGTCCTGGTCTACGTTCTGCCTCTAGCAGTGATGGGCGTCACCTACACCATCATAGGGGTGTCGCTGTGGGGAAGCGAGGTGCCTGGAGACTCATCTGAAAATTATCAGGCACAACTCGCAGCTAAACGGAAGGTGAATTTACTAAAAAGGACTTAAATAATAATTATTAATGCATTATGAAGGTTTTGGTAGTTACTCAGAGCTTTTGTGAGGATCTCCAAACATCTGGGTGGAGACTTTCCCTTTAGTTCCTGAAGTTTTCTAGACCATTGCAAAGGCAGCTCATAGATATTTGATGAAAAGCACTTTGACACCATCCAGCAGACCTCAGAGACGCCTGGGCTGAATGAGGATTAGGGACATCACAGCTGGGATGACGAGCATCTAGAGACAGCTCATGGGATTAAAGAGCAAAGTTCAATGATTAAATTCAAAAATACTACAGAACGGGTCTCAGATTATTCAGGTGACATCGCACGTGGACCAGGAGCTGGAATTTTTCACTGATCCGGAGGTTTTTGGAATGAAAGAAAACCCGCATTATAGCATTTCTTCATTCAGAGGTCCCCTAGGCTGCCATTTTTGTTCTCTGGATAAAAACGAGAGACTTCAGCACTTTGTTCGGCTCTCATGCCGTGTTTAAATGTTTTATACAAATAAACTTGGTATGGTACGGTACTTTTAACCCTCTGGAGGCAGGCGTTGCAGATTTGCAACATTAAAACCTGCCTACCTGGTCACTCCACGTACGTATTTCATGAGCATTTTCTAACTCAGAAGTACCCCTGAAGGACTTAGTTTGTCCTTTTATCAAAACTTATTTTGAGCCTGAGAGGGTTAAATGAAAAGAACCGCTGGTGGGAGACAGGTGCAATAGGAAAGTTCTCCAGCGGAATCGGGTATGGCGATACGAAGAGGTCGCTCTCCTTTGGTTTTTATTGAAGAGCATCTGCTGATGATCTGCTCCTCTTAGCATTCTGCTGCTCTGTATTGTGTCGTGACAACGTGACGACTCTGTCCTCATCCGCCTCGCTCTGACCCTGCTGCGTCTGGTGCGTCATCACTGACCTTTACCTGCCGTCGTGCAACAGCCGCTCTGCTCTTGCTGGTTGGAAATTGTGATGAGGATGAAGGGAAACGGCTGACAGGCTCACGACAAACTTCACTCAGAAAGCAACTCAGGTCCTTTTTACTTATACAAGTTGATTATAATGAGTATAAATAGCTTGTGAAGTCATTTTGTGTCACAAATATGATTTATTTATTTAAATAATCACTATTTATTCAGTTTTTCAACCAAATAAAACAAATGGACACAAAACTATATGAAATTCCAGTAGCTTACTCCCTCATTAAGCACCGTCTCCATCGAACCGTTCCCTCATGGGGCAAATGCACCACCAGGGGCCGGCACACGTCCATGAAACATCATCATTGCCCCCTAACCTTGAGCTGAGTCTTTCTAGTGAAAGAATCAGAAAAATGACTTGGTAACACTTTATTAACGTTACTTAGGGAATTAGTAAGCATTAATAAACTATTAAATAAATCATAACAACAGCTTAATGCATCACTAAACAGACCCCCCTGCTGTTGTCCTAGCAGGACACTGTATAGTTAACAATAACAGTAACGTTAATAAAGGGACTCTTTGTTTATTAATGCTTTATAATGCACTAAATAACATTATTAAAGGGACCCTTAGTTTATTAATGCATAATTATGCACTAAGTAATGTTAATAAAGGGACTATTTGTTTATTAATGCTTAATAATGCGTTAAGGATTGATGATTTGTCCAAGGTGTCCCCTAAAGAAACGTATACTTCTTCTTCTTCTTCTTCTTCTTCTTTTTCTTCTTTTTCTTCTTCTTCTTCTTCTTCTGCCTCTCACCCCGTGACGGCTGGAGCTAGGCACCAGCTCCCCACAATCCGTCAATGGAAGGATGGATCTTCTTTTTTTTCCCCAGAATCCAGGGGGTAACCAGAGAAACTGACCCAGATCTTTCCAAATTCTTTGCTTTTTGCCATCCTTTTGAATATTTTGGATAAAAGATGCATGTATGTTCAGGAAATGAATGCTTCTGTGTGGTCTACTGCGTATTCTGAGCTGCATTTACTTATTTCAGTACAAAAAGAAACAGTCAGTTGACTGGACATCACTCAATACAAAGAAAAAACAAGTCCTTCAGCCCTGGTGCGAGTACACCACCACCCACCACTGAGCAGATATTGCAGGGGCCATTTTGGACGCATCATAACTATTGGAGACAAAACATTATGTTACAATTTTCCAACATTTTTGGGCTGCATGGTGGTGCAGTGGTTAGCACTGTTGCCTCGCAGCACGAAGGTCACAGGTTCAAAACTTGCCTTTCTGCGTGGAGTTGCGTGTTCTCCCCATGCATGCGTGGGTTTCCTCTGGGTACCCCGGTTTCCTCCACAGATCACAACATGCCCTATAGGTTATAAAAAATAAAAAATTGTGCGTCGCTTTGGATAAAAAGCGTCTGCGAAATGAATAAACATTTTGGTTTTTTATGAATCTGGGTCCATCAGGACATGCCCAGATGATGCCATTAGAAACCTTAAAGACATTAGGTTGCTCCTTCTGCAGGTGGTAAAGATGATGATCATCGTGGTGGTGACCTTTGCCCTCTGCTGGCTGCCGTACCACGTCTACTTCATTTTGACGGGCCTCAACAAGCGTCTGGTCAAGTGGAAGTACATCCAGCAGGTGTACCTGTCGGTTCTGTGGCTGGCGATGAGCTCCACCATGTACAACCCCATCATCTACTGCTGCCTCAATGGCAGGTAGGTTCTGATCCATCATGGAGGAGCTCTGTAAAACAACCGATCACTGACGGATCTGTGGGGGTGGGCTCTGCTGCAGGTTCAGGGCTGGTTTCAAGCAGGTTTTCCGATGGTGTCCCTTCGTTCGGATGTCGAGCTACGACGAGCTAGAGCTCCAAAACACCAGACTTCGCCCGTGTCACCAGAGCAGCATGTGCACCCTCACTCGAGTTGACACCAGCATCCTGAGCAAAAACAAGAGCATCTGTTCCCGTGGAAACAGGTCCAAAGGGAACTCGGAGCAGAACGATAAAGATGGATAGAGATGAATTCAGCTGATACATGATGAGTTGTTGTAGTTTTCTCTAAATTTTCCTAAATCTGGACAGAACGGCGATTGTTTTAGAGAACATTATCCTTCAGACTGTGAGTCAACACTGCTCAGGAAGCAGAAAAGCTGTAGAAGGAATTTAGAGGAAATCATCTGGAGTAACCGTTTGTCTAGAGGAGCATGTTGAAGCTCCTGAGGCCATGAGACCTCCTTAAGCTCTGAAAAGAAAGGAAGTAAAAAGTTGTGGTTTGGTTTAATGTGAATTTAAAAAACTCATAAACTCATGTTGTTCATTTTAGATGGATTTTAATACCTGATTTGCACAAAACAGCCCCAAAACAGATTCTCCAAGTAGAGAATGTAGGTGTGAACTGATTCATGTAGATTTATGACCTGTGAGAAGAAAAGACATTTCTGTTTGTCATTTTGACAGAAACAGATGCCTTTCATTGGTTTACGATCATTTTTCTGAAAAAGCTGCAGCTGAATCGTTTCTTTAAAGAACATATCATGTTATATTTCTATGTTTTACTGTCAGAAAATAAGACATTTGGGTGAGTTATAAAGTTGGACCCCTTCAACCAGCACCACACTCTGTCTTAAAAATACCAACAGTTGCACACGCGTCCCAACAGTCGTGAGCTTCAAAACTGCAAAAGTGACACCTGGTTGTGGCTTATGTGCTTTAGGACCATGTTGAACTGTGGCCAAAGGTTTTGAGACCTACATGAATATTAATTCAGCAGTGATTGTTTTAATATTTCTGTCATTCACAAAACTTTTGACTACAACTGGAAGTTAGAAGTGCTTTAAATTATGATTCTAGTGCCATGTTTTAAATGTATACTAACCTTTTGGCTGATCTCTGTGACATTTACTGTGTTTTTTTTTTACAGTTTTCTTGGTTTTGGGCTGCTTGTATTTTGGTGCAGATTCAGAAAAACACAAATTTTTATTTAACCTGGAAACTTGAGTTGAAGAAACTGACTGTGAATCTCATATTTGTGTTTGTTGGATTTAAACTCAAATTATGTGGAAAATGTTGAGTCAGACTGGGACTATCGACCGGATCTGGAGCAGGAAAGTGTTTGTGACAAAAATAAATTATGAATATATATATATATATATATATATATATATATATGTATATATATATATATATATATATATATATATATATATAGTGATATTTTATCCAGTGATTTTATATTGATATTCAAAATCCACGTATCAAATTTTTGGAAGAATATACATGCAAATATTTGTGTATTTTCTTTTCTTTTGGTGCAATTCAAACACAGACCGCTAGTTGGCAGCAGTGAGCAATGTGTGTTTTGTTTCCACCACTGAAATATAAATCCCTCTGTTGTGGTTCAGATAACTCACGTTAAAAATGTTACGTATCAGTTTGGACTAGGGCTGGGCAATAAATCGAAAATGTATCGTTATCGAAATTTCTGACTCTT